ACGCGCGTTTCGTCTACATAAGATTCATCGGTGACGCTCAGATCAAAATAGTTAAAAAGCCAAACAAGTACAAAGTTGAAGAGAATTGAGGACCCAAAATTCCAAAAAGTTGTGCCAAATACAGCTAAGGAAATCTATTCCTGGGATAAGAAAATCCTTAGTTTTTCAAAAATTCAACTTTACTTTACGATGGTTTTAAAAAGAAAACTATTGTTTTGAAGAAATGGTTCAAAAGTTAGACAAATCTCTTCCTTTATAATTTGTCCTTTAACTAGACTGAAGAATCCATTACAATTATTAATGATGAACCTCGTGTTCTCAGATGTCGAATTTTACTGTATCTTTAAACAAGTTCAAGATATTTTTGTTCTAAATTGAGTGTTCAATGTAGGATATAAAAATAGATATGTAGAATTATAATAAATGAGCCAAGAGAGAGGCGAAAGATACCAAATAGACATTCTAACTCATAAGTCAAAAATAAACTGACAACGCCATGGCTAAAAAATAAAAACACAAACAGACAAACAACAGTACGCAAAACACAACATAGAAAACTAAATACTGAGCAACAATGCTGTAAACTGAACTTTTTGTGAGCAAGAAGAAAAAAAGTTCTAAACAAATACATGTTAATGTGAGATGGCAAAAAAAAAATTGAAAAAAAACATTGTTTTTGGCGATAGAGTTGGCGAAAAAAAATTGACCTAGGGGAAACCCCGGTCTGATATATATTACTTAGACGACAGTTTTCGTAGTCGAATGTAATTCTTTATTTCAGTAAAATATCTTAATATCAAAACGGAAAATACTTTGATTTATTCACATGAAATAATCTGAATCGGATATCTTATTGATATTTATATAGTCGAGGAACATACGAAGGTATTTGAAACAGATTAATGTGTTTTCCTCAATGAAATTCTACGTGACCGAAAATGATTTAGGGCTTTTGATTGCTATGGTCTACTGTGCTTTGTTTTGGAATATATGGAGCACAATAAAAAAGCTTTTATGTATCAAACATCGAAATGCCTAAAGATAGCCTTACAATGCAAATGCTTGCCTTTATTCAGAATGGATTTTCATAATCTATATAATAATGAATTTAAAAAGCTAAACGTGAGTGTACATGAATCAATTCTACGAAAAAAAAGGAATCTAAAAACTATAAGACATCTCTTCAGTTGGAAATTGTAATTTTATATCTGCTTTTAAAATACATTATATCTGAATATCAAAAGGTGATACCCACAATTACAAGGTAGCACAAGAGTCTTTTTTTATAATGCAACTGTTTTATTTTTTTTATAAATAATGTATCGTTGTCATCAGCTGAGATATAAATATGGAGGACGTACTTCAGGAAAAATGAATCAATGATTTCCTGAACAAAACCAATATTATTCATATCGCATATAAGGATATAAATAAATAAGCATAACTAAGCATAAATAACCACATGAAAACAAGCTGCAAAACTGTATCTACATTTTTAATACTGTAAAAGGCTGGATCTTTTGTCGTTCCAATGACCGAATAAATCGCAAATATTGAAAACTGATTTATTTTTTAACTGGACCTTCAATATCTGAGACACCGTTTTGTAGCATTTTTATGATCTTAATGAAGTAACAAACATACATTTATTACTCCTCAAGCTGAAAAATTTAAAAATAGGAATAGTATCGTTGTCATCAGCTGAGATATAAATATGGAGGACGTTCTCCAGGAAAAAGGAATCAATGATCTACTGAATAAAACCAATATTATTCATATTTAATGATATAAATAATAAGCATAACTAAGCATAAATAACCACACGAAAACAAGCTGCAAAACTGTATCAAGATTTGTGATTCTGTAAATGGCTGGATCTTTTGTCGTTCTAATGACCTTATAAATCGCAAATATTGAAAACTGATTTATTTTTTAATTGGACCTTCAATATATGAGACACCGTTTTGTAGCATTTTTATGATCTTAATGAAGTAACAAACATACATTTATTACCCCTCAAGCTGAAAAATTTAAAAATAGGAATAGTGTAAGACCCCCTGTTTTTCTTCCAAATATGGTCATTTAAAAACATGTATGTAATATAAAAATTCCGTGGTATGAATGCCAATGATTGGTTGATTGATTGTTGTTTACTTTACCCTAGTGACAAATAGTTCATGCATGTTCAGGACGAGATCAAATTAAAAATTAAGACAATAGGTACGTCTTGCAATATGAGTTCGTACAGGACGATGGACGAGAAAATTGGAATGCTACTGGAAAATTAGGGTATATTGGATAAGAACAGAAATTTAGCCTGGCAACAAGCCATTTACGGAGCGATTAAACATATGTTTAACGTACCGAGAGCGAGTCACTCTCTCTATACGAGTAATCGTACTAAACATATCGTTCTGACCTGACGTGTCCGCGAATTCATGCATCGATCGCCCACGTTTGGTAAAGGTTTCACTGACGGTTGGAAGACTATAAAAGGATATCCATATTTCTATACACAAGATATTTCATGTGCTGTTGATTGACAATGCAACAACTATCCACTAGAAACTAAATTATATAGATGATAGCAACTATAGGTCACCGTGCGACCTTCAACACTGAGCACTACCCATTCTGTATAGTAGGCTATAAAAGGCACCAACATGAAAATTGTAAATGATTACCACATTTCTCTACCGAACGACCTTCAACATTGAGCAAATTTAAACCAATACCGTATAGAAGGCTATAAAAGGCACTGATATAAAAAATGCAAAGAATATTCATACTTCTATACCAAAGTTAACCCTTGTGGTGTTGATTGCCAAATAGAAAACTTTCTACCAGAACCAAATAAAGTAGATTAAAGCCATTATAGGTCACCATACAACATTCAACATTCAGGTAAACCCCTTACGTATAGAATGCTATAAAAGACTTCGACACGACAAAATGTAAAACAATTTAAACGACGAAACCAACGCCCTATTTTATGTAAAATGATAAAAACTATGAAACAGTTATGATAGATAGCAACCATCGACAACCCCTGAATTACACGTTCTTTATTTGGGATAAACACATACAAAATTTGGCTTCGTTAAACATGTTTGCGAGTGCTGAGCCCTCTTCTTACTCGTAACAGCTCGCAATTAGTTGAAAAGGCTTGAATCATCCAATCGACAATGCACAAAAATAATTAACTCACAAAGTATTGGTTTAAAAGTACTTACGGTAACTGAAAACTAGTTTTTTAACTAACTCTTGGGGAAACATTTTTTTCTTACTCTTAATATTTAATTACATTATTTGTCTTTATATCTTTTAAATGGACAACATTATAGCGACCACCCCAAATTTTTGATAATTAGACTGGTGTGCTTCCATAATTAAACAATACTTATTGAAAGAAAGTATTCAATTCAGAAGAAAGCAAATACATTGATATCATCATGCAGGTGAGTCAAATCTTTATGTTTTTACATACTAAACATATTTTTTAATGCAAACTGATTTCATTTTCTAACTGGAAAATAAGAAAAATATCAACATTCAAATGAGGTCATAGTTAGTATATTTATTTATTTGTAGATCGCAAGTTTTTTTTTATTAGATATGGATTTTTTTCTAGCTGTAAACCGAGGATTAACACACAATATTCTTCAGAAAATGCCTGTACCAAGTCAAGAATATGACAGTGGTTTCTTTTCGTTCAGTTGGTTAATTAGCCGAGCGGTCGATTTTGTCAGATTTTATGGACTCCCACCTTTTAGAATTTACTTTTGGGGCTCGGTATTTTTATTAATACTTTTTTGGAAAGTAAAAACAAATCATTGTTTTCTTCGTCCAAAACTCAAATCTAATCAAAATCAGTTAACAGTGTTTCAATGTCCATTTTTAAAGATAAAGGTAGCCTCTGGAATGACATCAATTCTTGTCTACTGTCGGTATATAAAGGGCAAGATAATAGAAATCAGCAGTTTGTTTCCGAATGGCACAGTAACAATTGAGAGACTCATGTAAATTTCTCAAAAATCTATTAGATGAGAGTGAAGAGTCTTTTAACTTTGCATGGAGAATTTTACCTTTTTGTCTTCAATCATTATACTAACATGTACAAACAATGAACAAATTTGAATTCGTTAATGTTCAGACAAGCTCTTAAGCTATTCCGAAATGGTGTGCATTGTATAGATGCAAAACAAAAAGTCGCTTTCAAAAGTTGGTGTGAATTTAAAGCAGCACAATACGTAAAATGCGTGCTTAACTTTGGATTACCCACAAATTGTGCGTTGCGACAACCCTTAAGAAACGACATTACCAGATAAAGTGAAGGCTATACCATTATATAGTTCTTTAACATTATCCTAGAAGTTATTACAATAATACAAACGCATAAACGCTGGATATGATTAGATAGGTATTGCTTGGTTGAATTCATAAAATTAATCAAAGAGAACTCAGTTTAATCTTAAAATGTAAGCTTTATTGGCAAATGAGTAAAAAAAGGCCAACACCTGACCGAACATATTTACAATTCAATTAATACAGATATGAATAAAATGAGGATTGAATAAACATCGATGATACAGAAACCAAATAACACAAAAAGATATTTCTTCAAAATAAACAAGTCTAAATACAATATATGTAAGCTCTAACCGCCCAATGACAAGACAAACATTGTTTAAAATTAACGAAAGCTAATATGCATTGTGCCTTCAACACAAAATTCAAAGTTATACAAATCTTGAGTTCGAATTATAAATAAATTAAAGTGATCATGTATAAAAAAAAAAGCCTTTCTGGGTATGAATAAAAATAGATGTCACACCCATAAGTAATCAAAATTCAATACAAATGTTACACTTAATTTTAGTAGTCTTCATTACTCCCTCCTCCATAGTTATTGGTGGTCATGTGTCCAAAATCCAAACACCTGTAACATTATCTGTTTGGACAATTACGTGAATAGTGGCCAATGTTACGGCAATTATAGCATTCAACACGACAGGTACTTTGGCATTCTCTAGCAACATGACCATAATTGCCAAATCTATTACATCTCAGGTAGCTATAAGATTTGAAGAACATTGCATTAGACAAGGAAAACAATGTCAAAGGCTTACTCTTCACTTTCGTTAATAAAGGTTATTAAGTAAATTAGTCAATTAACTATCTGTTATAGTCTTTGTTTTCATGATTTTTTTTATTTTTCTATATTCAAGTCTTTTCCAATATCCATATCGAAATTTTATTTTCGGTTGAATTTGAGTATTAAAGCGTTTTATAAAGCATGTTATATACAAATGTACGCTAGGCATCAAAAGCATATAACTCTTAATAGACCTACTGCTTACTATTAAACTGTGGATGTCAAAGTTGATTATTAAGAAAGTTATATGCAAATACTGAAAGATTTATTGGTTATCTTAATAACCTTGATCGTAACTGTCTGTTGATTTTTTTTTATAATTGAACTTCGTACTTATACCCTTTGATTCTTTGTCATATTTATTCATGTAAAAGAAGTTAATATACTGAAATTAAAAAAAAATATTTTGGACTTAAAGTTTTGAATTTGTATACATACAATACTTATACAACATACCAGACAACCCAACACAATATAGAAAGATATTGCTAACATATTTATAAATTTTAATGTTGCGTACATTTGGAAACATAATATTCACCAGTAGATTGTAATATTGTTAATGTTGAACAGTAAACTATCAGTTTTAGTACCAAAAAAATCGGGTTATTTGATTTCGATTTACCATCATACGGACATTTGTGACAGTTAATTACCAGTTAATTGTGGGTATTATATTTTTATCAGATTGATTCTGATGTTAGTTATTTATTCATTCAATCTAATAAATTAAATGTTCTGCTGATAATTTTTTTTTAATCTTTATAGAAACTATTATAATAACTTATTAAACTAAATTTATCTTGTGACATTTCTTTTTATCACGAACATAGTTTTCGAACTTCGGTGATCCTGATAAAGTTTTGAATTTCTGAAATCCTTGACATCTTTTGTTGCGTTTCAATTTTTCTATAAGATATCACTATTTACGGGGATGGTATATGATTTTTGGCAGTTTAGGACTTATTGAGATTATTTGTTGGTCTTAAATTGAAAATCTTTTGAATAATAATAAATTGTGATAGTAATAGAATTTCTGGCGAAAACAGATCCAGGGTTGACAAATGGCGATCAATACATTGGAAAAGCGCATGTTGGATGAGTGGTTGGATCCAATCTGCTGTTTATGTTACAAGTTTTGAAATCAGAAGGGATTTTGGTTGTGATTTGTTCAATAGTTAATAGTTAATAATATAATTCTCAGTTAGAACGCTTTTCATTATGAATTCACAAGAAAACATTTTAGTGAAAAGTAATAAAGAAAACCAATGGAATAAAAACTTAATTTCCAAATAATGTTATCCTTTCCCTCTTAATGTATTAAGATAAGGATAGCATGTTATGAGAGTCTAATATAATATTGGTTTGAAATTTGCAAAAGGAGTAAAACTATCTCGTACCAACTTCAATTTTTTTTCCTACTGACTGAAACACGTCAATTCTCCGTATAGATAATAAACTGGTCCTGATAGGCTCAGGAAAACATTTCAACAAAATATATCTAAACATGACCAGATATAACTTGGAATTGTATTATTTACAAAAAAAAACATTATTTTTTATTGAATGTTCACGGGACAATTGTTTGCTTGAACGTTATATTTAATTAAAATAACGATTTCTCAGTTGTGATTAAAAATCCATACTTAGCCTTTAAATGTTCGATTTCCCGTCTCAGGTTCCCGATTTCAGCATTCTGTTGTTTCATCTGCATTGTAAATCTATTAAATAATGTTACATATAAATGTGGATATTTTTCAAATTTCGGTGGATTCCTTTAATAAAAAATGTTGACTGTGATCTGAAGCATTTTTTTTTTAAATTTAAGTGCAAACTTAACAGTCTATCATTACTCAAGTTTGAGGAGCTATTAGTGTTCGTTTTTGTGTAATGCTTTATAAACTGTTATTTGTCTTTTCGTCGTTTTTCTTTTTGACTATTTGCCTTTATTTCTTATAGTTTAATTATCTCATTGGTATATTCTGCCTCTTTTTCAATCCATAAACTAAACAGAGCGTATCAAAGGCCAGTCGTTACCAGTTAGATTGTTAAGTCTAGGTTATCCATGACGCAAGAAAGAGAATAAATTTAATTTTTCTATGTTCAAATAGAGAGGCGAAAGATACCAAAGGGACATACAAACTCATAAGGTAAAAAAAACTGACAAGTTTAGTACATTTTCTATTGAGAACGTTATAGTTTGTAATCAAAGTACAGAAATCTTTTTATTTAGAATTATGAAGGGATAATACATATTTCCTGTGAATTAGTTGCAGCCACAAGGTCAATCGGAAGGTTGTAGATGTTGATTCTTCATAATACAATTAATCGGGGTTTTGTTTTATCACAACATTGAAATATGTAAGGCCACAAACAAATTTTTTTTTCATATATGATGACATTATGTTTATAGTTATGATAAAGCACCTCTTAAACTTGTTTTGTTTCTTGACTGTGCACGATGTTTCCACAAAAGAAATAACGATGGAAAACTGCATAAATTCTTGTTTTTATGATTTTCATGAAAACGGTGCGTATTATGACGTAATTGTGATGTCATAACACCACAATCTTATGTAACTCATCTATATTTCTACATTTTATGCATGTGAAATCTGAAAAAATTATTGTTTGGCCCAACACCGGGCCTTAATGTCCCTGCTCCTTTTGGGTTCTTATTTTCACAGAATATTGATATTTACATACATAGGCATGGATACAGACACAATAAAAATATATATATATATACCAAGAAGTAGCATGACAAGTCAAAATAATCGATGAAAGCTGCATTGAGATTGCCAATTTAATTTGATTTTTTTTCTTTTTCCAGGAGTAAAAAATACATTGACAACTTTTCAATTGGCCCAAATTTGTTCAATCTGCATGTGTATGTATACAACTTCAACAAAAGTCAACTTCAACAGCTAATTATGTTTTACATCAGCCTAGTAAAATACGGATATTGTTTGTTTGAAACTTGCTGCAATATAAATATATATATATTTTTATTTTAGATTAATAGATAAATCTCCCTCACACAAAGCGCAGCTCTAATATCCTGATTTGACTATATCATGGTCCTTTTATGATTTCATCAGGTCTTCATCATTTGCCTAGGGTTTTCAGTTTGTCAAATATTTTGTTCTCGAGCATCACTGGCATGCGCATCAGGTGCGGTAAAATTGGTCTCATTAATGTTATTGCAGAATACAATTCCACAGTAAGGGTTGTCAAATTTTAGTTATAAAGTTGTACAGTAATTTTTATTCAATAGATAATGCAATAATACTCATTTAACGATAAAACACGATAAACAAATTTCTCAAAAGTAAGAAGATACAGGAAAAATGAGAAGGCAAAACGTCATAGGTCGAGGAAGCACATACAACACAATGATTAAAAGAAACAATACGAAAAGAGCAGTCAGCAAAAGACTATTCGTTTGATCTGTATTTCTTTGACGCAGGCTTTGAAACATAAATAAGTGTTTACAAGAAAGCTCAAAACAGAATTCAGATTTTTAATGAAGAAATATGTGTAATAACTGAATGTATATGTCTTGATTAATTCTTACTTTACAAGCACATTGTATTTTTTTAATGAATCTTGGTAAATGAGCGTTTAAAGAGCAGTGGTTTTGCGTAATCACCAATAATTTAATTTTGGATGTAACGCGTCTTCTAATTGGCTGACGTTGTTTTGTTTATCAGCTCATAGACATAATTTTGTCATGTGACCGTGACGTCATCAACGTTTTTTCATGGTTTACTCCGGTTTAAAATGGAATTTAGAATTAAATTATAAGAAATTACTGTAATATTTTTTCTGTCTATTCGAAATAACATAAAAATGTGGTGCACACTTTAAAATAACCTGCTACGCGGGTTATTCAGTATGCACCACATTTTTGATGTCATTTCTTCATAGACAGAAAATATATAACAGTCATTCCTTAAATAACTTTCTTTATCTTTTTTCTGAATAAGAATTAATTTTTTTGAACCATTGACTCCATGAAATACTACAATATACCAAAATTAAAAGAATTATGTTTTTTGCATATAATGGTCGATATATAAGTGTAGGAGACAAAACTTAATATCAGCAGGTAAGGTAGTTTTAAACTTGCATTTAGTAACGAGCATTATTTGATACGGTATTATTGTTTACCTTTCTTTATGTATATTTTTGTTGCCTTTTATGAGCACCTGAGATCACCCCCAGTTTTTGGTGGGGTTCGTGTTGCTTAGTCCTTGGTTTTCTATGTTGTGTCATCTGTACTATTATTTGTCTGTTTGTCTTTTTATTTTTGGCCATGGCGTTGTCAGTTTGTTTTCGATCTATGTGTTTGACTGTCCCTCTGGTATCTTTCGTCCCTCTTTTATGCCAATGCCATAGAAGAGAAATGTGAAGTTTACATTTGTGTATGTTCGACTGAAATCAACGCCAAGTGTCAAACCAAAGCCAATTCTTTAAATTGAATTCAAATCTCTCGTCATAATTGGACTAGATTCTAATAAACAACCGATTGAGTACCACTAATAGAAATGTTTTATTTGCATTCGTGCATCGACGCCCAATTATGAATCAATTATTTGCTTTTCCAATTGACGTCCCCTGTCTAGTTTAGCTGCAAAGACACCACTGTCGCAAACGACGTTATCTAAAGGAGCAGGACACAGATAACGGACAAAGATATGATTTATCTGTGTCAGAAGACAACATTTCATAAGGCAATTTATTCAAAATCAAAGTAACAATACCAAGAACAATTCTTATATATGACATGTAAAATATAACTGTATTTAACAATTACGAATTTTGTCATCATAATTTTGACAGTTGATGTCAATATACGGTACGTTTTTTTTATTTTTTTTTCTTAAAAAAAATTCGACTAACCTATTTACATTGTTTTCTTTGCAAATGTACAACATGTTAGGAATACATTCTGAATCTTTTCTATAATATCTTTGGATCTTGTTGCTAACTGTCTTGTTATTTAACTAGTATATGTCAGGGTCATTCACTCTGCTAGGCAAATTTAGAAATCTCGTCCGTGATGGTTTTAGTCATATCCAGATGATTTTTTTTAAATAAATTTGTGCTGATGACAAATCTTTTATATTCTATGCACTTTCTATGTATTAGATGGGTTTACTATGTGATTGTCTGATTATTGACTCAATAACTGCACCCTCAGAATGACGACAAAATGAACACTCCCTGTTAAGCGATAATTACTTATCACTACACTGTGACGATACAATTAGTATTGGGTTCAGTTTGATTTTTGTAACGAGAAATATTTCAGTGCTTTACGAACGGAATGTTTAAATTGAGTAACATCTGAAGTTAAAGTAAATGAAATAAGTAATCTGTTATAATAACATATATAATATGACCCATTGGTTGTTACTCTAGACCATTTACTGGACAGCACACCTTTATGTATTATTATTATTAATCAAATGTTAATAATGTACAAGCATACATGTATATGATCATCTAATCGAATATCATATTTCTTTTTAAATTCAAAACCTTTTATTAATGACAATTTATTGTCATTCCAGTTTATGAGCTCCAATTCTAGGTCTCGTAAAAACACATCTTTGAAGGTATGGTATTTCAATAATGATATAAACGGTACCAACTTTATTGAACCAGATGTGCATTTCGACAATTGATGTCTCTTCAGTGATGATCGAGGCCAAAATATACAAACGTTGAAGAGCTGATCAACCAAATGGACCTAAAGTATAGCCAAAATCGGACAATAAGTACGGCTCAAATTAAAGTTTGGTTTGAATAATCCATTAGTTCTCAGTTTATTTCCAGATGTCTTATTTCGTCTTTTATCATTAAATAACTCTTTGTTCATATGTTTCAATATTTTTAATATAATTTCGTTTACACCATATTGTTAATGCTTGTTTTAAGTGAGAGTACTTAATACTTTTTTAACTGAAGCAATTCCAGAATTGCATGAATACAACTAGTCAACTAATTTTTCCCAGCTTCTGATAATGTGTTTGAGAGAGAATGAGCATTTAATAAAATATCATTTGTAATATGAATTCTTTTCCAATATTTGATCCTATTTGTTAAAATATCAAACGTTAGGGGATAACGGCCAAATTTGTTGCGTGCTTATTCACTCTTATGCAAATCTACAGAATTTTGAGATGCAATTTATCAGTTTTAAAACTGTCATTAGACATATTTCAATTTTTAAATGAAAAAACCCTGTACACGAAAATTAACGATAAAAAGAACACTCACTATTTACCAGAGTTTTTAAAAATTTTGATGGAACAATAAGTACTGAGTTGAATATAATGGGTTTTTTTTTTATCGAGAATGATATCCGTGCTTCGCAAACAAAATGCTTCACGAGAATGATAAACTGTCAGTTGCAGCTATTAATATAATCCATACTTATCATTCAGAGTTTCCAATTTCCGTTTCAGGCCTCTAATTTCATTGTCCTTGTATGTCTTCTGATTTGTACACCTATTGATAAATATTGCATGTACATGTATAAAAGTAAATATTTTCCATTTCAGTTAATATAGAACAAGGAAACGTAATATAATTGCCAATGAGCCAACTATCCACCAGAAACCAAAGGGTATAGATGTTTCCAGCTATAAATCATCAAACAGCCTTCACAACAAGTAACAAAGAAAAAGGAACAAAACACATATCGCATAACATTCTATAAAAGGCATCGACATAACAAAACGTTTAACAATTCAAACGAGAAAACAAAAAGCCTGATTTATGTACAAAACAATAAACGAAAAACGAATATATGATATAAAGCAACAAACGACAACCACTGAATTACAGTGTCCTTACTTGGGACAGGCACATACAGAATGTAGAGGTGTTAAACATGGTTGAGGTCGTCCAACCCTCTCCTTACATGGAACAGTTGTGTAAAAGCATAACATAATAACAAAAAAATAAAATTCAGTAAATAATGGATTGACTCAACAGATCGAACCAAAGCACAACAAATAAACTATAAAACACTCTAAAACACAAAGTACCGATCTGAGAGTACTCATAGTCACTGAAGGCTAGTTCCACACTAATAACACCTAATTAAAAATTTCAGTATCCAGGACAAAGTATCAATCAGTACACATCCAATGAATTTAGTGTAAAGACGTCACAGCCAGTCTAGACAAACATGACCTTGTGCAATGCCAAAACTATCAGTATCGACAGGATGTAGAACAGTAAGTTTTTGTAACTGTAATAAGTTGTGTTTTAATTGATTGATAAGAAAATCAATGTTAGTACCGGTAAAAAATTGTATATCGGGTTTTTGTCGCGTCGGATTGTTTTTTCGCGATTCGATGACAAAATGGGCAGGTTAAATTTTCACTGTGTATAATTCTCGCTGAATGGTGAAATACACGCGAAAATTTAAGTATTGTATTGCTAAAGATGTAAATAACATCGACTTCATTAGATGACAGATAATCGATTACAAATAAATACGTATACTACAAACTAGAAAACACATAATTAGGAGAACTTTCAAGGAAAGTAAATTATATATATTGCGTCATGTATTTTGTGATGATATAACAGAGCATTTTTAATCATATTTGTGCATATAAAGGCAACAGTAGTATACCGCTGTTCGAAAGTCATAAATCGATTGAGACAAAAACAAATCCAGGTTACAAACTAAAACCGAGGGAAACACATCAACTATAAGAAACAACAGAAACACTGAAGTGAACAATAAACAAACGACAATGCAACAGACACAGAAACGAACTATAAGATAACAACTGCCATTTTAGGTTGAAAAGAGTTTTGATTCATATTATTGAGCAGCAATAAAAGCGTTGTTTCTTTGCTTTTTGTGTGTTTTTTGCTGTGGGTGTACTAATTTCTTGTCATGAATGGATACCCCATATCCTTTGTTTTTCTATTAGATATCAATTTCGTGAATACTCAGTTTAACAGTATAGTAGCACGAAAACTGTTGACGATGTGAATTAAAATATGTACCAATCAATATACAAGGACAAAGTTAACATGCTCTCATTCAGGTGTCCAATATTTAAATCAACCTAAATCAGGAAATTGTTAATGAGATAAACAGAGACATTGACAGCTAGTTTCTTCACTTATTGTTATGCATAACTAAAACAAACAATACATTTTCGTGTTCAGTGTATACAATTGATGTATTTTTCATTGGGAACCTAATATTATCATACATCTTCGCTTGCCAAAGGTTACGATCCACTTCTCTCCTCTCCACCCTTGGCAGATTAAGCCAACATTTGTGATAACAATGTTGCGCCATCTATCGGTAGATTAAAGTCACGCCCATTCCGAATACATTATTTTTGACCAATGGTAGCACTTGAACTCTTCAATTTGGAAGTAAAAACACGGTAGCGTCTAGATTCTACACACTTTGTAAAGCAGGAAACGAAAATATACGTTGACATTCATGCATTTGTGCAAGAAACATACACAGGAACTTCTATTAGTTGATTAAAAACATTCAAATTGTCACTAAATATAGTCGTATGTTTAAGGATGTAAAGACTTGTTGCACAATAAGCACGTGGCAATTGTTTACATACACTTTCTTCATTTACACGTGATCATGTTATAGGCGCTTTTTGATTGGATGCAGCGAGTTTCGCCTGCAACCAATGAAAATCATTACCTTGTGTCTCCGAAATTCTATCTCAATCCGCCAAGGGTGGAAAGGAGGGAAGTGGATCGTAACCCTTGGATAGCGAAAATGATTATCATAGAGAGTTGAGGAATAGATAGTGTAGTATCTACGTGGAAAAATGCAAAACGAATGTTTCTATATATTGTTTTAAAAATCATATGCAATAATGGTTATAAAGGGATAGCGGAAAGTTTGCATATACTAACATTCTAAACTATTTTCAATAACCCACATTTCAGGGAGTGCTGGCATCTCATATATTCCCGTCGACTTGAGATTTAGGATACTACTGCCGAAAATAGAAGGTTTGCTTCATTTCTTGATCTTTCACTCGATATTGACAGAGATAGATGACTTTAAACAACTCTTTCCCATCGTATGGCTTTTAGATATCTGAATCGATACACTCGTGTATGTTCACACTATACAGACCTAATTAGCAGAGGGTATGCTCCTTACACAAGAACTGCATGCTCCAACAGAGTTATAAGGAAGAACGATTGAAATCGACATTACATAAGTTTTACGGTCGAAATCACTAATTCGTAAAGGATACGACATGCCTATGTTTCAACACATGCTTTCGCAGTCTTAGACCTTTAAATACCAGAACAATCGTCTTATCTGTTAATTTATCAATTGTATCATTTTCAAGATTGTGATATTTTGATTGAATGTGGATTGGGGTGAATGCATAACAGGAGACGCTTACCATGTTGAAGCATTTAGTTTTGCTCCTTTAAGAGTACATTGGATTCCCCCGGTTTTTGTTTGACACCTTGATTTCTTTTCTTAATCTTTTTATGAGATGTGAACGTCGGTCAACTACTGTTGTCATCGTTTACTGCTGCAAAATTTATTTAGTCATTGTAGTTTTTAAGATACTAAACAAAACAGAGAGAACATACAATGGGGGCATTCGGAATTTGTAAGTCCCCAAAAATAAACATTTAATACCCCATAAAATCGACGAAAGATAAACAACAACAATGACAATTACTTGTACTTTTTCCTTATATTTGTTTTTAGCAATACTGCCAATTTTGCATAGTCGACAGCAATGGAAAGCATAATCTTTATAACAGACACAAAGTAACAATACCAAGAACAATTCTTATTTATGACATGTAAAATAGAACTGTATTAAACAATTACGAATTTTGTCATCATAATTTTGACAGTTTCTTTCTTAAAACAAAATTCGATTAACCAATTTGCATTGTTTTCTTTGCAAATGTACAACATGTTAGGAATACATTCTGATTCTTTTCTATAATATCTTTGCATCTTGTTGCTTACTGTCTTGTTATTTAACTAGTATACGTCATTGTCATTCACTCTGCTACGCAAATTTAGAAATCTCATCCGTGATGGTTTTAGTCATATCTAGATAATATTTTTTAAATAAATTTGTGTTGATGACAAATCTTTTATAATCTATGCACTTTATATGTATAAGATTGGTTTACTGTTTGATCGTCTGATTATTCACTCAATAACTGCACCTTCAGATTGACGACAAAATGAACACTCCCTGATTAGCGCTAATTGCCAATCACTACACTGTGACGATACAATTACAGCAGCTAGTAAACGACTACGATGAACTCCGATTGATTTCAATATCAGTTTGGTTCATATGTGTGCATAAAAAGGGATATTTCAAAATGAGCTATTACGGTGAGTGAGCTGTTGTTAAAGACCTTATTTTTGACTTCACATCTTCAATTAACATGAATAAACAATCAAACAAATACTTTATTTGCTAATCACGGCACCCAAAATAAGCAGAAAAATTACAATCATAATTTTCAAAATTAATATAAAATGAAATAGGTTAAACAAAGTATAACATAATTACTTTTGATTAAATTGAATAACATCTGATGTTAAAGTAAATGAAATAAGTAATCTGTTATAATAACATATATAATATGACCCATTTGTTGTTACTCTAGACCATTTACTGGACAGCACACCTCTATGTATTATTATTATTAATCAAATGTTAATAATGTACAAGCATACATGTAAATGTTCATCTAATCTAATATTTTATTTCTTTTTAATTTCAAAACCTTTAATAATTGACAATTTATTGTCATTCCAGTTTATGAGCTCCAATTCTAGGTCTCGTAAAAACACATCTTTGAAGGTATGGTATTTCAATAATGATATAAACGGTACCAACTTTATTGAACCAGATGCGCATTTCGACAATTGATGTCTCTTCAGTTATGATCGAGGCCAAAATATTCAAACGTTGAAGAGCTGATCAACCAAAGGACCTAAAGTTTTGCCAAAACCGGACAATAAGTACGGCTCAAAATTAAAGTTTGGTTTGAATAATCCATAAGTTCTCAGTTTATTTCCATATGTCTTATTTTGTCTTTTATCATTAAATAACCCTTTGTTCTATATGTTACAATATTTTTAATATAATTTCGTTTTCACTTTATTGTTAATGTTTGTTTTAAATGAGAGTACTTGATACTTTTGTAACTCAAGCAATTCCAGGATTGCATGAATACAACTAGTCAACTAATTTTTTCCAGCTTCTGATAATGTGTTTGAGAGAGAATAAGCATTTGTTAATAAAATATCATTTGTGATATGATTTTTTTTCTCCAATATTTGATCCTTTTTGTTAAAATATCAAACATTAGGGGATAACAATAACGGCCAAATTTGTTGCGTGCTTATTCACTCCTAATGCAAATCTACAGAATTTTTAGATGCAATTTCTCAGTTTTAAAACTGTCATTAGACATATTTCAATTTTTAAATGAAAAACCCTGTACACGAAAATTAACGATAAAAAGAACGCTCACTATTTACCAGAATTTTTAAAGTATTGAGTTGAATAAAATGGTTTTTTTTATCGAGAATGATATCCGTGCTTCGCAAACAGAATTCTTCATAAGAATGATAAACTGTCAGTTGCAGCTATTAATATAATCCATACTTATCTTTCAGAGTTTCCAATTTCCGTTTCAGGCCTATAATTTCATTGTCCTTGTGTGTCTTCTGATTTGTACACCTATTGATAAATATCGCATGTACATGTATAAATGTAAATATTTTCCATTTCAGTTAATATAGAATAAGGAGACGTAATATAATTGCCAATGAGCCAACTATCCACCAGAGACCAAATAGTATAGATGTTTGCAACTATAAATCATCGAACAGCCTTCACAACAAGGAACAAGGAACAAAACACATTTCGCATAGCATGCTATAAAAGGCATCAACATAACAAAACGTTTAACAATTCAAACGACAAAAAACCAACAGCCTGATTTATATACAAAACAATAAACGAAAAACGAATACATGATATACAGAAACAAACGACAACCACTGAATTACAGTGTCCTGAGATGGGACAGGCACATACAGAATGTGGAGGTGTTAAACATGGTTGCGGGCGTCCAACTCTCCCCTAACATGGGACAGTTTTGTAAAAGCATAACATAATAACGTAAAAATAAAATTCAGTAGAAAAGGGATTGACTGATCACGTCGAAACAAAGCACAACAAACAAACTAAAAAATACTCTAAAAACACACAGTACCAATCTGAGAGTACTCATAGTCACTGAAGGCTAGTTCCACATCCAATGAATTTAGTGTAAAGACAAACATGACCTTGTGCAATGCCAAACCTATAAGTATCGACAGGATGTAGAACAGTAAGATTTGTAACTGTAATAAGTTGTGTTTTAATTTATTGATAAGAAAATCAATATTAGTACCGGTAAAAAATTGTATATCGGGTTTTTATCGCGTCGGATTGTTTTCTCGCGATTCGATGACAAAATGGGCAGGTTAAATTTTCACTGTATATAATTCTCGCTGAATGGTGAAATACACGCGAAAAATAAATGTATTGTATTGCTAAAGATGTAAATAACATCGACTTCATTAAATGATAGATAATCGATTACAAATAAATACGTATACTACAAACTAGAATACACATAATTAGGAGAACTTTCAAGGAAAGTAAATTATTTATATTGCGGCATGTATTTTGTGATGATATAACAGAACATTTTATAATCATATTTGTGAATATATCTTGTATGAATTACCGATTTTTATTTCTATACAAACATCTGATCTGTCGATTAACACAAAATAAAGAATTTATGTATAATTTTATTTCACCTTTAGGGTGAAAAGAGTTTTGATTCATATTGATGAATAACAGCAATAACAGCGTTGTTCCTTTGCTTTTTGTGTGTTTTTTCTGTGAATGTACTAATTTTTTGTCGTGGATGGATACCCCATATCCTTTGTTTTTCTATTAGATATCAATTTCGTGAATACTAAGTTTACAGTATAGTAGCACGAAAACTGTTTACGATGTGAATTAAAATATGTACCAATCAATGTACAAGGACAAAGTTAACATGCTCTCATTCAGGTGTCCAATATTTAAATCAACCTAAATCAGGAAATTGTTAATAAGATACTAGTAAACAGAGACATTGACAGCTAGTTTCTTCACTTATTGTTATGCATAACTAAAACAAACAATACATTTCCGAGTTCAGTGTATACAATTGATGTATTTTTCATTGGAAACCTAATATTATCATAAAGAGTTGAGGAATAGATAGTGTAGTATCTACGTGGAGAAATGCAAAACGAATGTTTCTATATATTGTTATAAAAATCATATACAATAATGGTTATAAAGGGATAGCGGAAAGTTTGCATATACTGACATTCTAAACTATTTTCAATAACCCACATTCCAGGGAGTGCTGGTATCTTATATATCCCCGTCGACTTGAGTTCTAGGATACTACTGCCGAAAATAGAAGGTTTGCTTCATTTCTTGATCTTTAACTCGATATTGACAGAAATGGCTGACTTTAAACAACTCTTTCCCATCGTATGGCTTTTAGATATCTGAATCGATACACTCGTGTATGTTCACACTATACAGACCTAATAAGCAGGGGGTATGTTCCTTACACAAGAACTGCATGCTCCAACAGAATTATAAGGAAGAACGACTGAAATCGACACTACATAAGTTTTACGGTCGAAATCACTAATTCGTAAAGGATACGAAATGCCTATGTTCCAACACATGCTTTCGCAGTCTTAGACCTTTAAATACCAGAACAATCGTCTTATCTGTTGATTTATCAATTGTATCATATTTAAGATTGTGATATTTTAATTGAATGTGGATTGGGGTGAATGCATAGCAGGAGACGCTTACCATGTTGAAGCATTTAGTTTTGCTCATTTAAGAGTTCATTGGATTCCCTCGGTTTTTGTTTGACACCTTGATTTCTTTTCTTAATCTTTTTATGAGATGTGAACGTCGGTCAACTACTGTTGCCATCGTTTACTGCTGCAAAATTTATTTATTCATTGTAGTTTTTAAGATACTAGACAAAACAGAGAGAACATACCAATAGGGGCAATCAAAATTTGTAAGTCCCCAAAAAATAAACACCAATGCCCCATAAAATCGACGAACGATAAACAACAACAATGACAATTACTTGTGCGTTTTTCCTTATATTTGTTTTAGCAATGCTGCCAATTTTGCTTTGGTTTTCATTAGTCTTATTGTTTTAGTAGAAAATATTTGTGAAAAAGTTTAAATCGACGATGATTGACGCCAAATGATTGTAATATCCAAAATTGCCCGTTTTGGTCAAATGTGCTTAAAAGAGATATTTAAGACTGATTATTCGAAAAATTTTCTGAACCAGACATTTTAGGCAAATGTCTTACAAATAAATTCATCATAGATACCAAGCTATAACCTTTTACGCCAGACGTGCGTTTCGTCCACAAATGACTCATCAGTGATACTCGAATCGGAAAGTTAAAAAGGCAAAAAAAGTACCAATTTGAAGAGCACTGAGGACCCGAAATAAAAAAAAATACAGCTAAGGTCATCAGTTCCTGGGGTAAAAAAATCCTTAATATTTAGAAAAATTCAAAGTTTTGTCAAATGTAGTTAATAATCCATACTTAGCCATTCGAAATTCCATTTCCCTTTTCAGGCTTCTGATTTCATCTTCTTTTTGTGACATATGTTGTGTACACCTATTGAATAATCATTAAATGTATCTGTCAAAATGTTGTTTTTTTTTCAAATTTCGGTGATTTGTTTTTTCACGAAAATCTGACTGGTAAATATGCAGCTAATTTGTATATTTAAGGTTAACTGTTCTCATTTTTACTTATGTATTATTTTTAGCAATTGCAGCCATGTTGCATAGTCGGTGGTTATAGAAAGCACAACCTTTATACAATGTAAGAGACACATAAGTATTATACACGCCAATTTTGTTTCAGTTTGCTTTGTTGTTAAGGAATGAATATTTTTGAAAACGTTTACGACGACGATGGACGCCAAATCATTGCAAAAGCCCACATTGCCATTTAGTTCATGTGCGCATAAAAGGGATATTTGGCATTTATCCTTTCATGGTAATTTTTTTAGAAATCAAATGTATTCGTTTTATTCATCAATATTGGGATACATAAGCTAACATCGGAGAATTGCATAAACAGCAAGTTAAGACTCAAAGAAAAAAGTAATTTTGACATATTCGTTAAAATAATGCACTTAAACGTCATTTTGTATTTTACCGTGAGTGGAATTTTATGGCAGACGTCATGATTTACGAGAGAAAAAACATAAAAGAGAGGGGAAAGATACAAAGGGAACATTCACAAAGTATCCCATCGGCTTCTCATCTGTATCCAACAGTCTAATTTTAACATTTTATTTTAAGCAAAAACGTGGTAGTATGCATTTAGTTATGCATAGTATACTAGTTAAAATATTACTTTTGTTTTCCTGTGTTCTAGGTATTCTGTCTAAATGATGAATATCTCATTTCTCCTTTTATTAATGCTCAAATAAGATTAGAAAAAAATCCAATATCGTAACCTTCGTGAGAGGAGAATAGGAAAATCAGAGATCTAAAAAAATACAAGGTGTACCATTCCTTTCGACAAAGGTTTTCTAAAACTGTATTATTAATGTAAAAATGATATTTGCAAAGTTGTGATAGGAATGAAATTCAAACACAAAGAACTTATCAATGATCATCTTTATTTGCGTTAATATTTGCATTTGGTAGATATGTGAATTTTCAAGTAATTTATTATGATTATTATTTGCTATCATTGTGAGTAATCAAGGAAGACAGATAATTTTGCATGTTTACGCCAAAGCATTTTATCCAACATAATCATTCCATCTTAAAATTTGTGGATGTTTCAAGCTTAATTATTTTTGCAAACCTATGCAATTTAATTTTCTGAATATCTGAAATCATCATGTCAGCTCTTAAATATGTTCTATTGTACCTTGAAATAAGTTTTACATACATTACGCCACGGTATAACATACAAAACAATACAATAGTCTAGCAGTATATAAAATTACAGATAAATATGATTGTGTCTTAATGATGGAACAATATTAAAGTTCTTCGAATTGAGAGCAAATTTCAACAACTAAACAAAAGCATTTCCAGTGAAGAGAAATACAACAAAAGCATATAACATCATGCCTTTTCATACCTGCAAGCATAGAAATGGCACAAAGATATATGGTAACATCTTAATAACGAATTAATCTGAATCTAGAAGAATTCTAAAAAAAATACCTGGACACATTCTCCTTTTTTATCATAAAAGAAGAAGATTTTGGGTATGCGTTTTAATGAGCAAAAGAATATGTAATCAGGATTGTGCCTGATATTCATATGATGAAGACATAATCTTTCAATCAGTTTAATTGAAGTCTGGAGCTGGCATGTCAGTTAACTGCTAGTAGTCTGTTGTTATTTATGTATTATTGTCATTTTGTTTATTTTCTTTGGTTACATCTTCTGACATCAGACTCGGACTTCTCTTGAACTGAATTTTAATGTGCGTATTGTTATGCGTTTACTTTTCTACATTGGCTAGAGGTATAGGGGGAGGGTTGAGATCTCATAAACATGTTTAACCCCGCCGCATTTTTGCGCCTGTCCCAAGTCAGGAGCCTCTAGCCTTTGTTAGTCTTGTATTATTTTTAATTTTAGTTTCTTGTGTACAATTTGGAGTTTAGTATGGCGTTCATTATCACTGAACTAGTATATATATTTGTTTAGGGGCCAGCTGAAGGACGCCTCCGGGTGCGGGAATTTCTCGCTGCATTGAAGACCTGTTGGTGGCCTTCTGCTGTTGTCTGTTCTGTGGTCGGGTTGTTGTCTCTTTGACACATTCCCCATTTCCATTCTCAATTTTAAATATACTCGGGATAAACATTCATAATCAAAACGCTTGAAACGTGGCATGGAAAGAAACGGAACCATACACTAACTTTTGAAGTGGTGTGAGCGATAACTTCAAACATGTCTGATCAAAGAAAATATTTTAAATTTCAACGGGAATATGAATGAACAGTTCCGTAAACCACATTTATTGTTCAATGTTACAACACAAGAACGTAATTGTTCCATGACTTTTGTTAAATGAACATTGAAGGTGCTGCATTTACTTTTTGAAATAGTAATTGCAATGTTTTGTTCAATGCCACATTGTATATGACTTCAAAAATCAATAAAAAATCAGAGACAAACAGTATACAAAACACATAGAAAACTAAAGACTGAGCAACAAGAATCCCACCGAAAACAGGGGTTGACATCAGGTACTCCGGAAGGATAAGCATATCCTGCTCCACATGTGGCGCCCGTCGTGTTGCTCATATAAGTACTAACCCAGTTATAAGTCAAATTCAGTAGGTTACATTGGACGAAAACAGGATTGTGGTTACAACAACTGGAACATTTCCGTCGTCATTTGTGTAACAGATATTCCATAACGGTCAACCAACCAGTGATGGCGTTTGGAAATGTTCGAAGGGATGATCTCAACTTCACCATTTGTAACTATTGGTTTTGATATTTTCCGTGTAAGCAGCAACCCTCTATCAAGAAAATCATGATAGGATATGCAAGCTATGGAGTATCGTATCAGCTTGGAGATATATATTCCATATACAGGCGCTGCTGGAATGTTGCTTCATAGAAAAGGAAAGTCCACAATTTGGAAACTGAAGCCAAACGTTTAAACAATTGTCTGAGGTTTTTCGGACAAATCTTCGAAAGTTTATATTACACTAGTATATAAGGCTTTTTTTAATTTGAAAATTTATTCAAATAAAGAAAACATATCAAAACAATATTTTGTAAAATTATAAAAGATTCAATATGTTGCCATTCATTTGATAAGCAAAAGGGACAAATATCACATTAATTAACAGTGGGATATTAATTCGTTGAACATAATGTAAGATGGAACATTAGCAACATATTTTGAAGTAATTTGGTATTATGACATTATTAGTTGTTATTCAATAAATGTTGATAAAAAATATTAAAACAATGTACAAATGAAATGAATACGTAAAGAAAGGGCGTTTTTTCTAATGTTCTTTTTGAGACAATGATGCAAAGTAAAATATGCAAAATGTCTCAACTTCATGTTCCCGGATATGATTAATTTTCATATTATATCGGAAAGCTTTAAATTATATTTCATATGTAATGCCCAAAAGCATCCAGTCTTAATTAAAAAAAAGCAATAAACGAGTTTTCACGAACAGAATTTTACATGAACTTGTTGATCTTATTTAAAGACAAACATACACATTAAGACAAATAGAATACTCGCGTCTTACCAAACATTTTGAATTACAACACTTTAATGTTATAATAAGTATTGAGGTTAAACTAATTTTTTGTAAAGAGAAAGATTTCAGTGTTTCATGCAGGAAATGTTTATTCTTTCAGAATGATAAACTGTCAATTGTTATAAATAATTCATACTCAGTCTTAAAACATTCAAATCCTCCTTTCAGGCTTTTGTATTCACCATCCTTTTCTATCATCTGTTTTGTATATCTAATGGATAATATTACATGTTCAAAAGGTATAACAAAAATATTGAACTCCAAGGCAAATTCAAAAATGGGAAGTTCATAAAAACTGACAAAAATCAAGCGCTATCAATCAACGGAACAAATGAAAAACCAATAAGTTTATTTTTCAATTGAGAACTAATCATTATGCGATCAAATGTGAAAACAATGCAAAAAGACAGCTAAAATTGAAGATACATCGATGGTTAAAAAGAGAGAGGACTAATTTTAATATTTCCAATGCAGATCAAATTTGAGGGTTATTGAAAGGACCCTATAAGGCTTTTTCTTTTTACAAGTTGCCAGTCACCGGAACTTTTTAAGAGTCTTTCAAAGGAAAGATATTTTATAAAAACGTTTCAGTCTAAACTTATATTTAAATAAGCGCTTAGATATGTCTTTTCTGATGTTACAAACCTGTTCGTGCACTTTTCATTGTTATTCAATGCAAAATAATTATCAAAGATACCTGGGACGATGTCATTTCATAAAGAATGTCTTTTGTTTACTTATTGTACCTCAAACTTATTAACCCGGTGTAGGTCTTTAAGTTGAGGTTCAATTTACTAAAAGTAAATCGGGCATGACTAATTAGACACGCCCTCTTAGAATCAAGGGGTCCAAAATAGGATCGGGAAAAAACAGCCAGCGAAATGCCATAATTTACAATTATGTAAGTGAGTGTGAGCTTAAATGACGATTTTGATCATGGTTAATTTTTATTCTTGTACGACATACGTTTTACCTCTAGCCAACGCTCTATTTTATTTAAGTGTCGCTCTAAAATTGTTTTCATTTGCTTCAGGTCGATCCACTTTGCATCTCGCCGTGAACATGCATGACATATTTGCTACAAGACATTAAGGGAGCAATCAATTAATCAGCTTCATTTAGTCATGTAAAATCATTATTCAGTTGATAATTGTCTCAAATTGTTTTCCAATTTTTATATATTTGATTTGTATTTATATTTGATTTTAAGTATGAATTTTATCATTTCTCCCCTCATTTTTCTCTTTGCATTTATTTTTTCTAACATTAAATAACATAGTTGATAATGTCCACATCAGGGTTACATTGTATCCTATCTAGCCAAACTAGGAGGAAAGGAGTAGAACAGAAAAAAATCTGCATTCAGTGGCAATAACTCATTTCTTGTAGTACAACGACGGTAGTCTCGTCTAGGTGACAAAATTTGCTGTGTCGATTTTTTTTATATCTGGTATAATTGTCATAAAAGCAAAAATGGATAAAAAAAATAATGGCAGCAATTTATAGGAGGATTCAAGTTGTTTTGGCCGTTTTATTTATTCTTTAGATATTGTCTTACTGGTCGGTTTTGTTATTTTTAAGATCTTTTTCATCGACAATTGTCCTTGCAAAAGGCGCAAACAATGTGTTAAAATCAACCATGCGACTTATTTGCAGATTTAGCTGACCTTTGTTGCTGTTTAGAGATTTCAATCATATAACTTGTACGTAGATCGTATTTCTCCCTCAAAGAGTTATTGAAATTGTTCTTTAACATATAGATAGCGTGAAACTCTCACTACACCAGGCAATGGATATACGACATTTCTATTCCGACCAGACAAAAAGGGCTGTTTAAAACCCCTCGCCCTTTCGGCTCGGGGATCTCAACATCCCTTTTTGTTCGAAGGTCTTTTAATGTCAATATTAACTTATCATTGAACTTTTACTATTACTTACTAATGTTATCCTTATTCTAATAACAAAATCATTATAAAAACATTGAGTCGTGGATAAGACAAGCAGAAAGCAGAATTTCAGCATTTTACTAATCTGTGTTTATTGTTTTTCATTGTGGTTTTATGATAAATGTAACAAAAAACAATGTTTTAACATTATTATAAGAAGTCTTTGATCAATATTTCTATACCGTATCTATTATTCGTACTACTTACCTGTATTTTTGGCGCAAATGAAAAGTGGTTTGTGGCGTTAATCGACTTTGTGTTTATGTTCACTTACAAGACTTCGTTCAGACCACACCAGGATCTATTTATTTATGTATTTATGTGACCAGGGTTCCCTTAATCACGCTACCAGTAGATTTCTAGGGTAACCCTGTAAAGTGTATCTTTGGCATTTGTCGTCCGTGTACGAGTGAAAGGCACGACCTGAAACTTATAAACCCAACAGCGGGTTGTCTGATGCGTCTAAATATTAACTATTAAGGGCAATAACTCCTTAAGGGTCAATTGACTATTTTGGTTATTTGACTTATTTGTAGATCTTACTTTGCTGAACATTATTGCTGTTTACAGTTTATCTCTATCTATAATAATATTCATGATAATAAACAAAAACTGCGAAATTTCCTTAAAATTACCAATTCAGGGGCAGCAACCCAACAACAGGTTGACTGATGTGTGTGAAAATTTCAGGGCAGATAGATCTTGACCTGATGAACACTTTTACTCTCATATTTGATCTAAATGCTTTAGTTTCAGAGATATAATGCTTCAGTTTCAGAGATATAAGCCAAAAACTGCATTTTACCCCCCATGTTCTATTTTTAGCCATGGCACCCATCTTGGTTGATGGGCGGAGTCTTCGGATATATTTTTTAAACTAGATACCCTAAAGATGATTTAGGCCAAGTTTGTTTTTATTTGGCCCAGTAGTTTCAGAGGTGAAGATTTTTGTAAAAGTTAACGGACGACGACAGTCGCCAAGTTATGAGAAAAGCTCACTTGGCCCTTTTGGGCCAGGTGAGCTAAAAAAGGAATGACACGCAATGGAAAATATCTGTAAGCTCAAAACAATGTCCTTATTAACTGGTGTTGATATATGTGAAATACTGCAATTTTGTGGTCTGACTGTTTTTTTTTTTTTTTTGTAATTCAATTAAATTATCTCATTCAACGAATCGAGATAACTTATCGTCGTTAATGTGTATATAAAGACGAGTCGTATTGAGAAACGTTAAGAGCTATCTAAATTTTTCGTTCCAATAAAATTAATCATTTCGAACCGATAAGTTCGTCAAATAGTGCAATATGTCAAAGTTCAAAGAATTGCTTACTTAATCAGGTATTAATAGATTACGTTTAGATGTTTTTTTTGTGTTATCTTTGTCGTTGGGTTGTTGTATCGTTGACATATATTCCTTTTATTTATATAAAATGAAAGTTTTATTTACTTTCAAAATCCTACCCTATTTTTCTTCAGTAAACTATTTCTAAACACATATATCTCTTGGTTTTTTTTCATGGGAAACAAAATGAAGGTCACTAAAAGACTAAATGTCAAATCATTAAGTCTAAACAGGCACTTTTAAACATCCATTGCATAGCCTGTCATTTGCATATATTTTACAGATAAACTTTCTCATTCATCAGTATGTACGACATCGATTATTTAAGACGCGGCACCAACTGTTGTCTGAATACGAAATAGCCATAACGATCCATGTAAATTATGCACTAATGAAACTTGAATATTGCTACACAAGAACTGCAGATAAATTGAAGTATTCCGATTCAAGCAAACAAAAAACCAGTCGATTTGCAAGTATTCAGCTGAATAATACACTTCTCCAAACACAGACATTTAAAACCCCTATTGATGTAACGTTAATGTAAGACTTTCGAATGAAATGGTCGGGGAGTTGCAAATTAAGAATTGCAAAGTTGGAATCTCGAAATAACGGAGATACATACTAACAATTTAAAAATAGCAAAGTTGAAATTCTTACCGCTTTGCCGTTGAATAGAATTAAATCAAATCCATCTACAAATTATGTCATCAAGATTTTAACATTTTGTTGGGACAAGTGACGACACAGTAGGAGTTATACGTTTTCCTTGAATCTTGGAATTGTTAAGCATGCAAATTATAAAAACAGAAGACAAAAATTCTATTTTAGCCATACTCGTAAAATGTAATTCAAGAGTATCAACGGATACATATTACAAACATACCGATACAAAACAATATTTAATTATAACTTATGACATCCAGGACACGCTAAATCAATACCAATTTCAATTTAGTAAGAATAGTATGTACAATTATTTCGGATGAAACTACTTGGATGTGCGTTTAATTGAATAGTTTATAATTCATACTTAGCCATAAGACATTCAATTTCCCCTTTCATGCTTCTGATTTCCTCATCTTTTTGTGTCATCTGTTTGGTGCACCTATTTAATAATATAACTTGTAAGTTTTTATAATGTAAATATTTTCCAAATTAATGGAATTTTTACAAACGGACATTCTTTATTCAAACAGTTGGCTTGCTCATTTGTGTTCAGTGTGGTATGGTTAACTTTTCCTGTTTTTCCTTTTATGTATTCTTATAGGGCAAATTTTCCATGCATGTGTATTACACAAAAGGTCAACATTGGAAGCTTGTTATTTTATATATTGTAATATTTTAATGTTTTGTAAATATTGACCTCTGGTTAAATTGGCTTTATAACTGTTTATTTGTGTACAGAGAAAATTAATGACGCAAGGCTAATTTGACAAATGGCTAGTTTTATTATCTGCAGTTAAAGTTGAACTGTCAGATGTAATTAAGACAAGTAGCAATGTCTTGGGGTGTAGGGTAATAAAATTAGTTATGCCTATTTGTTTGTCTAGAGATGCAATAATTAAACTCTATGATAAAGGTCAGTTGGTCAGAGACTGGAAGATTGTGTATCAGCTGTGATACTGGAAGGATGTGATTTTCCTTGAAGTCTTGAATCAGTAGATTCTGGAGGACTTGTATTTAAAGTTTATATGTTTAAACTTTGTAATCTAACTTTGTCAATAAGTCTGAAGTAATGTACATTTGTGACTAAACTTGTAAATATATATCGTATTATTTAGTTAATGGAATTTACCACAGGATACATTGTCGTGCCATAGTATGGCTATGTCCGTCAGTCTGTGTCAGTGTTGACCTCCCCTCGGTCACGTTACAATTTTTGGTGGCAGCGGTCGGATATTATTAACATGGATTAGTTTATTTCTATTATAAGAATTGATGTGCTGTTTGGAATTTAACAATGTATGTACGCAAATTATATTCAGTGGATTAATAGTAATATTCCGATAATTTTGTGTGAGAGGATTATTGCAAATGGAATAATATATTTCTAAAGTAACTGTAATTAAATTGTTATAAAATGGATAAACGTGATTCTTCTGATAGAGGAATTTATTTCGGAGGTGCAAGACCTAAAGTATCAATGGATACGGGAATAGGATTAAGTTCAACTGTCTTATCATCTTCAACGCCTAGAATGATTGAAACCCAAAGAGAAATTCAGCGTTTAACTAAAGAGTATGATACTCTTCAGGAAGAAATTTCAAGTGCTCCGACACCGAGAAGATCATCCATTCCATCCGTGTTCCAACCTTTTGGTAATCAAGGATTGCATTCACCTAAGCGTATGAAAATTGAAAAGCCAGTTGTCTCACCCTCAAAATATGATGGTTCTGTTCCTTGGGAAGATTACAAAATTCAGTTTGAAATGATATCCGAATTAAATTGTTGAACGGATAATCAGAAAGCAATGTTTCTTGCGACAAGTTTAAGTGGGAATGCGGAAAGTGTTTTAGCCGATATTGATCCGATAAAGCGTACAGATTATAAACCGATATGTGCAGCATTAACTAGTAGATTTGGAACCGAAAACATAACAGAGCTTTTCCGTGTGCAGCTTAAGAATATCCGTAAAAGAAAAGATCAAGAATTGCCTGAATTAGCGCAACATATCAAGAGACTAAGCCGTAAAGCATATCCCAAAGCTCAACTGGAACTACAAGAGATGTTGAGCCGAGATAATTTCATTGATGCATTAGATGACGCGGATACACGGTTGCGTATACATCAAGCTCACCCAAAGACACTAGATGATGTAGTTGAGTTGGCTGTTGAGCTCGAGGCATTTTATATCGCGGATAAACAGAGAGACAAACCTTCCAGTGTTCGAAATTTTGCTATTTCGGAAAGTTCAGAAGTGTCTGGTCAATTTAAAACACTGACTGATGTGGTAGAAGAACTTCGACGTGAGCTTCAGTTTCTTAAGCGCGACATGAGTCAACAGAGACGCGGATTTAACAACAATAACAACAAGACGGGAAAAAGACGATGTTGGACTTGTGGCGAGACAAGTCATATTAGAAGAAATTGTCCTAATGATGAAAAAGTAACAGAAATTATCAACAAAAACACAGAGTTAGAACCGGTCGTGTAGCGAGTGGCGATGGAGGAATGCATATTCCTGGGAAATTTCAAGGTACAAACGTTCAATGTTTAGTAGATACAGGTGCAAATGTGACATTTTTAAACGATAAGGTATACGATTCTCTGTCCGATGGAAACAAAGTGGTGTTGCGTCCAACACATACAAACATGAAACTTGCCGACGGTAAACCACTTAAAGTTAGAGGAATAGGTAAAATGAAGGTTGAAATTGGGAGGACACTTCTCACACAGGATGTGTGGGTAGCTGATATAGATGAAGATATAGACTGTATTATCGGTTTTGACTTCATGAAACAAAATATTTGTTGCATTGATGTGGCCAACAATACAATGACTGTTAATAAAGAAGAGATATCATGTGCAGTATTAAATACACAGGGTGTGCGATGTTGTCGAGTTGCTGTGTCAGAGACAACAGTTATTCCGCCGGGTGTCGAGCAGATTATTCCGTGGAAAGTTATTGATATTGGTTATGCTCCAGATTGTAGCATGTTAGTAGCTTCAGATAAATTTGTGGAGAAACATCAGCTCCTGTTGGCTAAAACAGTAGTTAAGTCATCATCAAATGTCGTTCCGATTCAAGTTTTGAACGCAAACAGATAAGTCTGTTAAAGTGTATGAAAAAAACTATTGAAACGCCATGTGAAGCAGTAACAGTACTTAACGAGTCAGCTTGTTCTCTAGATTCGTCAAAAGAAGATATTCCAGAACATTTAATATCTAGTTTATCATGTTTATATACAAACAGTATTAGTGACTTGGTTTACCGTATTCAAAATTCAGAACCAGCAAAATCAAGAGTTGTTCATTACAACAAATCTGGACTAAAACCGTATTATGGAGATTTTGACAATTGGCTAATTAAAACTGTAATTCAAAAAGACACCGAGTCTCACGCTACCGCAATCGAAGAAAATAACATTGAGTCTGACATTGAATTGAGTGAAAATGAACAGTGCGATATGTCTTATTTTCCAACTGACAATATTGAATACGGTCGCGGACATCGTGTGAAACGTCCACCCATCAGATTCGTTCCTGATTAAAACTTTTATTGAACTTTATAAACTATGAACATTTAAAATGAACATTGAAATAAACATTGCATGTTTTCATGATTATGATTGAATTATTTGATTTATTTTATTGTTAAAATGTTGAAATTGATTTTTGATACATTTTGGTTTTTCCATTTAAATTTTATTGCGTATTTTTGTTTTATTTTTGAAAGTGGTCTTCCATACTTTAATAAGTTAAAGTTTTTTTGTTTTTTTTTTTACATGTGGGACACATGTTTTTCAAAGAGGGAGGCAATGTAATATTTTAATGTTTTGTAAATATTGACCTCTGGTTAAATCGGCTTTATAACTGTTTATTTGTGTACAGAGAAAATTAATGACGCAAGGCTAATTTGACAAATGGCTAGTTTTATTATCTGCAGTTAAAGTTGAACTGTCAGATGTAATTAAGACAAGTAGCAATGTCTTGGGGTGTAGGGTAATAAAATTAGTTATGCCTATTTGTTTGTCTAGAGATGCAGTAATTAAACTCTATGATAAAGGTCAGTTGGTCAGAGACTGGCAGATTGTGTATCAGCTGTGATACCGAAAGGATGTGTATTCCTTAAGTCTTGAATCAGTATAGATTCTTGAGGACTTGTATTTAAAGTTTATATGTTTAAACTTTGTAATCTAACTTTGTCTATAAGTCTGAAGTAATGTACATTTGTGAATAAACTTGTAAATATATATCGTATTATTTAGTTAATGGAATTTACCACAGGATACATTGTCGTGCCATAGTATGGCTATGTCCGTCAGTCTGTGTCAGTGTTCACCTCCCCTAGGTCACGTTACAATTTTTGGTGGCAGCGGTGGGATGTAATATTTTAATGTTTTGTAAATATTGACCTCTGGTTAAATTGGCTTTATAACTGTTTATTTGTGTACAGAGAAAATTAATGACGCAAGGCTAATTTGACAAATGGCTAGTTTTATTATCTGCAGTTAAAGTTGAACTGTCAGATGTAATTAAGACAAGTAGCAATGTCTTGGGGTGTAGGGTAATAAAATTAGTTATGCCTATTTGTTTGTCTAGAGATGCAGTAATTAAACTCTATGATAAAGGTCAGTTGGTCAGAGACTGGCAGATTGTGTATCAGCTGTGATACTGAAAGGATGTGTATTCCTTAAGTCTTGAATCAGTATAGATTCTTGAGGACTTGTATTTAAAGTTTATATGTTTAAACTTTGTAATCTAACTTTGTCAATAAGTCTGAAGTAATGTACATTTGTGAATAAACTTGTAAATATATATCGTATTATTTAGTTAATGGAATCTACCACAGGATACATTGTCGTGCCATAGTATGGCTATGTCCGTCAGTCTGTGTCAGTGTTGACCTCCCCTAGGTCATGTTACAATTTTTGGTGGCAGCGGTGGGATGTAATATTTTAATGTTTTGTAAATATTGACCTCTGGTTAAATTGGCTTTATAACTGTTTATTTGTGTACAGAGAAAATTAATGACGCAAGGCTAATTTGACAAATGGCTAGTTTTATTATCTGCAGTTAAAGTTGAACTGTCAGATGTAATTAAGACAAGTAGCAATGTCTTGGGGTGTAGGGTAATAAAATTAGTTATGCCTATTTGTTTGTCTAGAGATGCAGTAATTAAACTCTATGATAAAGGTCAGTTGGTCAGAGACTGGCAGATTGTGTATCAGCTGTGATACTGAAAGGATGTGTATTCCTTAAGTCTTGAATCAGTATAGATTCTTGAGGACTTGTATTTAAAGTTTATATGTTTAAACTTTGTAATCTAATTTTGTCAATAAGTCTGAAGTAATGTACATTTGTGAATAAACTTGTAAATATATATCGTATTATTTAGTTAATGGAATTTACCACAGGATACATTGTCGTGCCATAGTATGGCTATGTCGTCAGTCTGTGTCAGTGTTGACCTCCCCTAGGTCACGTTACAATTTTTGGTGGCAGCGGTGGGATGTAATATTTTAATGTTTTGTAAATATTGACCTCTGGTTAAATTGGCTTTATAACTGTTTATTTGTGTACAGAGAAAATTAATGACGCAAGGCTAATTTGACAAATGGCTAGTTTTATTATCTGCAGTTAAAGTTGAACTGTCAGATGTAATTAAGACAAGTAGCAATGTCTTGGGGTGTAGGGTAATAAAATTAGTTATGCCTATTTGTTTGTCTAGAGATGCAGTAATTAAACTCTATGATAAAAGTCAGTTGGTCAGAGACTGGCAGATTGTGTATCAGCTGTGATACTGAAAGGATGTGTATTCCTTAAGTCTTGAATCAGTATAGATTCTTGAGGACTTGTATTTAAAGTTTATATGTTTAAACTTTGTAATCTAACTTTGTCAATAAGTCTGAAGTAATGTACATTTGTGAATAAACTTGTAAATATATATCGTATTATTTAGTTAATGGAATTTACCACAGGATACATTGTCGTGCCATAGATGGCTATGTCCGTCCGTCTGTGTCGATGTCGTTCCTCCCCTCGGTCACGTTACAATATTGTTAACGTATTCATATGTATTTCTTAAAAAATTACATTGGACAAACTGTTTCAAAAGCAATTTTAGGTAAAGAGTTTCAATACACAAACAACGGGTCCTTCAACTAGAACACTCATAAATACATCTGAACGAGCATATGTACATGTATACATATATTGTTTTTCTTTTTTGCCATGGTGTTGTCAAGGTTTTTTTGACTTTCTCCTTTCAACGAAAATGGTGTTTAAACAAAAAATTGTCGAATTTAGTTTTTAATCCATACCTAGCCATAAGACATTCAATTTCCCCTTTCATGCTCCTGATTTCCTCATTCTTTTGTGTTATCTGTTTGGTACACCTATTTAATAATATTACTTGTAAGTTTTTATAATGTAAATACTTTCTAAATTAATGAGATTTTTATACACGGAAATTGTTTATTTGAACAGTTGGTTTGCTTATTTGGAGCATTTTCAAATAAACAAGTACAAGTTAAAAAGGTTATAGTGTCTATGCACTGTGTCAAGCTCTGAATACTTTAGAATATACAGCGTCTAATCTATATGCTGATGATACAACTCTGCATTTGTCTTCTTAATATATTGTAAATTTAAATATATGTCTTAATAAAGACTTAAAAATGTTATTAAATAATGTAAAGAAAATGATATGATGACAAATAACAAGAAATCAAAATGTATGCTTGTTGGATCAGACAGAAAACTGGAAATCTGCAACTAATGTTTATGTGTTTTATCACAAGATAATATCGCTTTAGATAATGTTGGAATCCATATTGGTAAATATCTGTCATGGTCAAATCAAATTGATAATTTTGAATATACCCGTTGAAAGGGTTGAAACATTATTTACCATTAAAGGGTCTTATTCTTTTTTACAATAGCTATATATTACCCATTATTGACTACTGTTGTACAGTATAGGGTCTTACCACAAATTGTAATCTGGAAAGGATTCATGAGCTCCAAAAACGTGCTGCAAGATTAGTTTTATCTATTTCTTTTAATTATCTATCAACTTTAATGTTTAAAAAGCTTGAATGGATGACTATATTTACGAGGATACAATATTTTCAAGCTGACTTAATGTTTAAATGTATGAATGGTCTAGCACCTGATTATTTAACTAATAAATTTACTGCTTGTACTGATCTTTATAATTATTCGCTCAGGTCGACAACATCAGGACTTCTTCGTGAACCAAGACCTAATTCTGACTTTTCTTAAAATAACATTTGAATATTCTGGTCTTATAACCTGGAATAATTTGCCAAATAATATTAAAGAAATAAATACATTTAAGATCAAATGTTCAAACTATTTTTTAACTGTACAGAATGAAGATACCTGAATCTAATGTATGTTTTTCTTCTATTGAATGCATATGTGCTTATTCAATATCTAAGCTGCTTTTTATAACTGTATTATGTATTTTATTTTATTTTTATTTTTTTTTATTTTTGTATTAATAGTTTTTGATGGCCTCATGGAAGATTAACATGTCATTGTTAAATGCGTTACATTCGTTGAATAAATAATTTTATTTATTTATTTATTTATTTATTTATTTATTTATTTATTTATTTATTTATTTATATAATCAACCCAAGAAAAAGAGATGTGAATTTACTAAACAGAGAGTAGTAAATATCTGTTTTTGATAGCTAGTCTTTCAAGCTATTATGACTAAGACAAAAAACTAAATTGCAGTACTCAATATTCGAATTTAATGTATTTTCCTTGTATGTGACCATAGTGCAAATATGCCAAATACATATTTCGACAATAAATGTCTCCGCATGAAAGAGGCCAAAACAGAGTAGCAAAGCCTTGTTATTAACAGGTATTTTCTTAAGTTAATGTGAAATAATACAAAAATGAATTCTCACTGTTAATGTTCAAAAAGTCAAAAAGAAACCCTTATTTTACCGGAAATTTTCGATTACTACACTCTGATGAAACAATTAATATATAGTTTAATTTGATGGTCAGTGTCGAGAACAGTTTTCAGAGTTTTACGAACGGAATATTTAAATCAGAAAGACAAACTTTTGATAATAATCCATACTTAGCCTTTAGACATTCATTTTCTAATTTCAGTCTTCTATTTTCATCTTCCTTTTGTATCATCTGTTTTGTGTACCTAATGAATAATATTACATGTGCATATTTAAATGTGAACGTTTTCCAAATTTAAATGAATTGCTATAACATGAGTACAATTGAAATGCTGATTTGAAGCATGTTAAATGGTATTTATTGCTGTGTAGTATCACCATCGTGTATAGGTAGCCCCGAAACAAAGAAACAATGGTAGTAAAAAGTATTTTTTCTATTCCTCGTACAGTAAGAACCTATTCGCTGTACAGTGTATCAGCTTTATTTACAGGAATTTCTCTATAAACACTAGGTTATTTCAAAATACAGTGTTTTTCATGCTTAGATATGATATAACTTTGTTCTACGAAAACGTCAAATGAATAGTTGAAGGATTAATGTATTTTAACAAGTTTCATGCTTCTTTGAATAGGTACCACCCGGTCAAATTCTGAAAATATGAAGAGAGAGAAAGCAAATTAAGGATCATAATCAGCCTTAAATAGTAGCTACATTATTAGGAATCAGTATCACAAAACTTTACTTGTCGCCAAAGCGTATAGAATCTAATAGAAATAAGGAGAATTTGTTTTTTTTTCCACCGCTTCGGGTGTACCTTTACCTGGTGGTGATGCTATACAGTGTTTATAGATGTTTTCCTAAGTTTATATTATATTTCTGACTTTTTGTCTTAGGGTTAAATTTCAAACTTAGTTAAATTTCCTTTGAGAACCTAATAGTATGTAAATGAAAATTCAAAAATGCAAGATGACAGATTAAGTTTTATCCATTTTTTTAAAATCTTACATACAACGATGATTACGAAAGAAAATGTAATGGGGTTTGTTCCCACGTGAGATTGGTTTCGTATCGATGCACGCGGTCTTGGTGCTTTTTGGGTTTTTACGATTCCTTAAGATTTTGTTGTTTGTTACCTCGATTTGTCTCTTATTAATTTAGTCACGATATTTGAACACCGGTAAGCTATTTTTGTCTTGATTTGACCCCACCACCTTGTGTGTCTGTTACGGGGTGTTACCAGTGAAATAGGACTAGGTCCGTATCAGTCTGGCAGGAAGATCTTGTCACATAACACGTGTCCGTTGTACTAAATCATAAGCCTGGAATCTTTGGTGAGTTTTGAAATAGCTATTCACAGAGTAGATATTATTTTTTCATAATTAGATTTTAATCGGGAAGTACAAACAACATTAGGGCCAAAAGAAAAAAAGACGAAACACAAGTAGTCATCAAAATATATAAAATTAAAGAATCAGACAAATCAAAGCAAACCAAAGAGAGTAAAAATTCTGTTAAAAACGTTTTCAGCATTTTATCGTTCAAGCGTCTTACCTTTGAATATTTACTTTCAAACTCTCGTTTTCTTTCAGTATCTTGTCAATTCTCTTTTGATGAACTGGACACATCCGACACAAGCTTTCAAACATGAAATAATTATTTCAATAGTGTTCAAATGACAGCTCAATACAGGTTTCGAATTTACTATTGTTAGATTATGTGAAATAACTGCATTTATATGTTCTGATTAATTGATATTATGAAATTATTTTTTTTTTATAAAGAATCGAGGTTTCTTACCTTCAAATATAAATTCCACGAAAACTTATTGGTCATTTGAATACACCTTTTCAAGGTTATAAAGTTAACAGTGTAGAAAGATCTTTGAATATTGTTTTTATCGGTATTACCGTTGGTTTTGCTTTTAATAGATTAAACCAATACTAAATATGTAATGTTATACAGCTTAGAGCACGTTTGATCCTACATCATGTGGATACTTATAGCTTTATATTGCACATATTATGTTTTCTCAGACTGTTTGTGACGCCTTTACACTAAATCCGTTGGATGTGTAAAGATAGATTAAGCATGAAAACATAGATATATATATATATATATAGATTAAAATTGTTTTGGATTAAATTAAAATAAATGCGAGAAACAATAGATCGGTACTTTGCGCTTAGTGTTCGTCGTTGTTCACTATTTGTCATATTTGCTGCTTTCTAATTTTTTTTAGTATAAAGCAGGCCGCTGACTTTCTCATTTTAGTTGTTGAACATTTTGTCTTGCCTGGGGCCTTTATAGTTTACTATACAGTATGGGTTTTGCTCATTGTTAAATGACGTATGGTGATCTATAGTTGTTTAAATCATCATCCTTTGATATCAAGTGGCTAAATATTGCATTGGTTATTATGAGTTTTATATATGAAGATGAGTCGTATTGAGTAAACATCAAGAATGTCTTGTGCGAATTAAATAAATAATTTCTAATCGTTGTCTTCATGAAATACTACATTGTTTTATAGTTCAAAAAGTTACTAAATTGGTAAGTATAAAATTGAGAATGGAAATGGGGAATGTGTCAAAGAGACAACAACCCGACCACAGAACAGACAACAGCAGAAGGCCACCAACAGGTCTTCAATGCAGCGAGAAATTCCCGCACCCGGAGGCGTGCTTCAACAAATATATATACTAGTTCAGTGATAATGAACGCCATACTAAACTCCAAATTGTACACAAGAAACTAAAATTAAAAATAATACAAGACTAACAAAGGCTAGAGGCTCCTGACTTGGGACAGGCGCAAAAATGCGGCGGGGTTAAACATGTTTATGAGATCTCAACCCTCCCCCTATACCTCTAGCCAATGTAGAAAAGTAAACGCATAACAATACGCACATTAAAATTCAGTTCAAGAGAAGTCCGTGTCTGATGTCAGAAGATGTAACCAAAGAAAATAAACAAAATGACAATACTACATAAATAACAACAGACTACTAGCAGTTAACTGACATGCCAGCTCCAGACTTCAATTAAACTGATTGAAAGATTATGTCTTCATCATATGAATATCAGGCACAATCATTCCCGTTAGGGGTTTAGTATCATACCATCATAAAATTGAGAATGGAAATGGGGAATGTGTCAAAGAGACAACAACCCGACCATAGAACAGACAACAGCAGAAGGTCACCAACAGGTCTTCAATGCAGCGAGAAATTCCCGCACCCGGAGGCGTCCTTCAGCTGGCCCCTAAACAAATATATTTTCTAGTTCAGTGATAATGAACGCCATACTAAACTCCAAATTGTACACAAGAAACTAAAATTAAAAATAATACAAGACTGACAAAGGCTAGAGGCTCCTGACTTGGGACAGGCGCAAAAATGCGGCGGGGTTAAACATGTTTATGAGATCTCAACCCTCCCCCTATACCTCTAGCCAATGTAGAAAAGTAAACGCATAACAATACGCACATTAAAATTCAGTTCAAGAGAAGTCCGAGTCTGATGTCAGAAGATGTAACCAAAGAAAATAAACAAAATGACAATAATACATAAATAACAACAGACTACTAGCAGTTAACTGACATGCCAGCTCCAGACTTCAATTAAACTGATTGAAAGATTATGTCTTCATCATATGAATATCAGGCACAATCCTTCCCGTTAGGGGTTTAGTATCATACCATCATAACATATATGAGAAGAACATAACCCGTGTCATGCCAACAACTGGTTTTTAAATAAATGTGTTTAGTGCCGATGCAAAGACCCTATAAGTGAATCAATATTAACGCCAAAATATGCAATCTTTAATGACCTGACAACAGTATCGTAACTATATCCCTTCTTAATAAGTCTATTTAAAGGTTTTGTTAGCTTCAGAGGTGAATACTGACATTTTTGTGCTTTATAAAGAATATTTCCATAAAAAATTGGATGTGAAATACCTGAACGTATAAGAAGTCTGCATGTTGAGCTATATTTACGAATGATGTCCTTATACCGATGATAAAATTTAGTAAATGTTTTGACTAGTTTGTGATATCGAAAACCCTGGTGTAATAATTTTTCAGTAATACATAAATTTCTCTCGTTAAAATCTAAAACATTGTTACATACACGAGCGAATCGTACAAGTTGAGATATATAAACACCGTAAGATGGTGACAAGGGAACGTCACCATCTAAAAATGGATAATTAACGATAGGAAATGAAAAATCATCTCTTTTATCATATATTTTAGTATTAAGCTTTCCGTTAATGATATAGATATCATGATCGAGGAAAGGGCAGTGGTCATTGTTAGTATTAGCTTTATTTAAAGTAAGTTCAACAGGATAAATTTCTTTAGTATACATACTGAAGTCGTCATTATTGAGAGCCAAAATATCATCCAAATATCTAAAAGTATTATTAAATTTGTGTACCAGATGTTGTTTCGATGGGTCTTTACTGATTTTTGTCATAAATTGTAACTCATAGCAATACAAAAAAAGATCCGCAATAAGTGGTGCACAGTTAGTCCCCATTGGAATTCCGATAACCTGACGATATACGGAATCTCCAAAGCGAACAAAAATGTTATCTAGTAAAAATTCAAGGGCATATATAGTATCAAAGCATGTCCAATTGACATAGTTTTTTTGTTTATTGCTACTAAAAAATGACCTAAAAGAGTTTGAACATATATATTCACATTCTGACTTTTTAAATGCCCATTTAATTAGGTGTGTGAATTTTTTCTTAATGAGAATGTGAGGCAATGTGGTATATAGGGTAGAAAAATCAAAACTTTGAACAGATTCAAAATCACCAATATATGCATGCAATTTATCAAGTACTTCCAACGAGTTCTTGACACTCCAAAAGTAATTAATTCAACTTTTTTCGAATGCCTTATTTGAACAATTTATTATCAGGTTTTTGATTGTACCAAGTGTACTGGTAAGAAGAATAGACAATTTAGTAGTGGAACAATGGCTTGAAGACGAAATGAATCTATATTTGTAAGGTGTTTTGTGTAGCTTCGGAAGCCAATACATAGTTGGGACTTTCATTGTATTTGGTTCTGCTTGTAAAGCGGAAGCTAAAAGTTTATGTTTGTTACAGATGTCGTTTTCTGAAAATGGAGTCAGTTGGAATGTTGGTGAATTGATGATTTCTTTTTTCAGAACCTCAATGTAAAATTTACGTCAAACAATAATAATATTATTAGCAGCTTTATCGGCCGGGACAAAAACAAATTCCTTGGCTAGTTCTTTTAGTTTATGTTTGATACGAGAAATAGATTTATTGTGGTTATTGTTAAGAGTAAAATGTTCTTTAAAATGTTGAATACGTATATCAACTATGTTCATTACTGATTTAATAAAAGAGTCCAAAGATTTTTTGTCAGCTTTTTCCCGTTTTATCCATTTCAAACAGTAAGTATGGAGTGAGTCGTGGATGATATTACGACACTCATTCCAATTAATAATTGACGGGGGACGATAGTTAGGTCCTTTACTGAGGAATGATTTTAACTCTCGGTCTTGAACGATGTTAAGATCTCCTGTTATAACATGGGAAATGGGTCCATAAATGTATTCGGAATTACTGCAATTAGATGAAGTAGGTGTATTTTCACTGATATTAACATCTTTACACAATTGGCTATAATTAAACACAAATTTCCGGGTAGATTTCTTGTAAATATAACAAATAAGAGGGAGCTCAGTATTATCAAAATATCCCGGAATTTGTTCTTTAACAGAATGGTCGTTAAAAATACCGGCAATATTTACAAAATCAAAACCTTTATTGACATACTTTATTTTAATAAACTGTTTTTTATGATCTTCAGGGCGATCAATTTTGGGAAACAGTTTAGAATAACAATATGCCATTATAATTTGAACGATTTCATACTTAGGACTGCTATATGAAATTGTGTTGCAATCCTCTAAAATTTTATTTAACTTATTAACCGGTAATGAACAGAGCTTTGTTAACAGATAATGTCTGCCGTTGTTTTTTGAAATAGAAATTAGGTCCGAAATATTGGTATGATTGGTCCGAAATTTTCTTTGATTGCGATTTTTTCTACGACCATGAGAACGGTTTTTACGAACAGTTTTAGAAACTATATCCAAAATGTTAACAGAATCGGTTCTTGATATATTACCAATTCCCATGATATTATCATTAAGACCGAGAGGGTAGACTGTCTGTAATTTTTTAATCCAATTTAATTCAATTATTTTCCGCGATCGTACAAACTTTGAATGAGATTCACCAGGCTGCTTATTTACTACTTCTAAAGGTTGAACTGCTAAATATTTAATAGGATGATTGTGCTTCTTAAGGTGTTGATAAATGATACTTTTGAATTTATTGGGTCTTTTAAAACGATACAGATGTTCTTGAGTGCGTTTAGATAAATATCGTCCAGTTTCACCTACGTACTGAATACCGCATCCCGGTTTGTTTCATGTGAGTAAATAAATTATACTGTTTGTTTTTCAAGTTATATCAGTTTCAAAATTTAAAGAAAATGTGCGACCATTAAACGTGGACCTTACCGTATTGTTGGTGGAAAGACGGGGACATGTAAATCATTTTTTGGCATGACACTTATCGATAGAAGGGTAACCACGATTTTTATTGTTAAAAATGTTAGCGATGGTAGTATTTTTAGATAAGCGATTTTGAAGATTGAGACGTGTAGATACCCTTTGAACGAGTTTAGTATTTAATATTTTTCCATTTCTAAGCTTCCTATTTGTTTTTTGTTTGTGAATTATATTAGAAAGGAGCAAAGACTGGCGTCCAGAATATGAACCAGCATACAATGAATTGAATTATGTAAAAATAATAAATCTGTTCGGCTAAAGATGTCAAACGCTATCCGTATTAATTACCCGAAAAAGAAAGGGTATATTAGGGTAGCGACTGACGTCTGACTAAATAGTAGAATGGGGCTGAATATTGAAATACTACTTTTTGATAAATATTCCTAAAGTAATGAACTAGAGAAGTTCTCGCTCGGACACACACTCCATAATCTAGTATATTATAGTTATTAGTAGATTAAATGGGAACTTGTTAAAAAGAAATTTATGAAAAAAAATGAATTTACCTGTGGTCAACTTTTGATTCCATATATTCTGTGATTTCTTTATACAACATTTTATTTTCAAAAGACTGTACTTGTGTCATTAATGGTTCGGCGGGTATATTTACTAAAGTTTGAATATCGATGTCAATTACTCCATAACATGAGTGAAATGTGTTGTCATGTTTTTCAAAAAGTAGATTCTCTAATTCGGATTTTATTTGCGTGTATCGTTTATGTGTCAGCTCATTATTTTTCATGAATGCTTCGTAGCTCTGATGCTCCAAGATTTCATAATCTTCGACTTCTGTTACTTTTATATTCTTTTTTGTTTCGATAAAGGTCTGTAGATCTACACAGACAGAATCTATGGTCACAATGCAGTTTTTGCTATCAACATGGAGTTGGTCGATGTAGCCTCTCACTTTATCCTGGATGATTGGTATTGCATCAACTTTGGCGCTTAAATCAGTAATTTGTCGTTTGGCTTTTTCTCTTTCCTCTGACACCACTCCAGCAATTTCCAAGAATGAATGATCTTTGTGTGTTGATATTACACATTTAGAGCAAATAAAATCATTGCACATTTCGCAGATGTAAACAAATTCTTTATCGTGTGTACGACATTTGGACGTCTTACTGAAATCTGCAATGTCTATGGTGCTGGTATTTGTAATCGTATGCCCACTTGTAGTTTGGACCAAATCGTGTCGTTCTCGGCATATTGTACATAATACATTTTGACATTCATAACAGTAATAAACACCACTGTTCTGGGTACACAGGCGACAAATCTGTGTAGAAGCCTGAGCCATAATAATCGCACAATACAGGTTGTTTATGAAATCAATTTTGATCGCGTCACCGGATGTGAATTCTGGTATACACAAAAGTTATTTTTTCGATATTGTTAATACTTATTAAACTGTTGATAAAGTTCTGTATAGATATCAAAGAGTGGTTTATGTGTCAGTATTACCATCAGTTGTCTATTGGAAATATATATATATATATATTTTAAGAATTGAAAGTTTTAGAGAGAAACAAAAAATGAACAATGGTAATTTATGGATTTTCTCATTTACCGACAATTACATATTGTAAACAACGTCATTTTATATCTATTACAATGAAACATATTAATTTCTTAAATAATCAATGAAAATTGGCACATTGGCTTATTCATATAATATACTAAACATCTGTTATACAGATATCGAATTGGTAATGATCTGCATTCTACATCTAAATAGAATAGGATGATATATGTATGTGTCTAATGGGAGGTAGCTCTTCCTAAACAAAATTACAAATATACAAAGGGTGTTTGTTACCTTTAAAGTTTCCAAAAAGGTTATCAGCCTTTTTTATTGTTGGCTAAGATTCATACCCGAATTGCAGCTGGTATTTTCAAATAATTTGTTGGTAATATTTTATATCATTAAATGTTGCTTATGGTACTAGTTGGTACAAGTACAGTTTATTTTTCAGGGTTTTTTTATGATTAAGATTGATCAAACACAAGAAGATCTCTGTCTTTTTAAGGAGGAGAAGAGTTTATAAACTTAAAGCATTTACTTTAATATATATTTTCATATAAAAATCGATGGTAAATAAAGGTTTAGACTTGGATAAGCAATGTTTGCCAAATTTCGTTTTCCTACGTACTTATGAGATACTACCACTTTTGCTTTCACAGCTTGTCATTTTATTTTTCCTTAAAATATCGTAACATATAATGTACTTACTGTTTATTTTTTTTAGCTTTTTGATTTTTCGAAATCACAATTTGTCAATTTCCTTTTATGCATCCTATCGAAGATAAGAATCAGAGATCATGCATCGGAAGCCGGTGATTTACTACTGTTACTTCACTCTATCGGTGTGTTTTGTCTCTACATTTCCCCTAATTAGTTTACAATGATAGGGAAATTCAAAATTAAACATTATTTGAGTGTTTTTTTTAGTGTGTGTAAAATACCTCGGCGGTGTTTTGGTAACATTGTGTTGTGTATGCGAAAGTTTAGGGTACAATCTTTGATTTTTTAAAGGAGTTTCTGTGGACTGAGTATTCCGTTCCACACAATAATAAGCAGGCTTAATTATTTCGTACACAAATTTATTTCGATTTATTTCGATTTTCTAAAAAAAAAAACATCCGTTTTGTAAGGCAGAATATTCATTTGCATCCTGTCTTCGGCAACATTTTCCATTTTCAGTTCCAACCAGGCCATAACATATACATTTCCACCCTACTAAGAAATCTAATGATCGTTACCTTAACATCCTAAATGTTATAATTCAATAAGCAATGGTCATAATCATCTATGATAATTGTTTAATGATATAACGTTATGAAAGCATACTTAGCGAAATTTTACAACCGTCTCCCTCTCGGTTGAACTCAGAGAATTATTCATAATCAAGATCGGGTGGTCAATCTTTATTTGAGGCGACGAGAGATATCTGCTTGTACAAAATATGTGTTTTTGCACCACAACTCGTTTGCACAAATAATAAGAATGCGACGCTATTTTAAAAACTTTGTATCACTTTCGACAAACGTTGAACATTTTTTGCCGCAATTCTAATATAAAAAAGTATTTTTAATTTACACTGACAAAGTCATTTAATGGTTGTTTATTAGGAATAGATTACCTAAGCTGTATTTAGCAAAACCTTTCGGAATATTGAGTCGTCAATGCTTTTCAACTTCGTACTTTACTTGGCCTTAAACTTTTTTTATTCGATCATCACTGATGAGTCTTTTGTAGACGAAACGCTCTTCTGGCGTACAAAATTCTAAGCCTTGTATCTATGATGAGTTTACTATAAGAGATTTCCAATAAAATAACTAACGCACGTATCTCGACGTATGAACCTAACGGAACCGGCTATTAAAAGCATATGAAGTTTTGTTAAATGCGGTGCTCAATTTTTAATTAAGATTACCAAGACTTATAAAACCATACACCGTACTTTTTGTCAATATCCAGTAATTTCTAAATGCTTGAAAATTATAAAAATCATGTATTTCTATTTATTATCTAATTTTCACAATCCCCGCCTATATTTTCATTGTCATAGGATCGCTAATGCACATATATCTTACCTAACATACGACTGATTAGGTTTATCTTTCATGACAATTTTTTCAATGAACTTTGCAGATTCCATTATTCTTTATTTTACATGCTTATTTTTTTTAACGATACCATTTATTCATTCTCTCTTTAACTATTTATCTATAATTACATATCATTTTATCAGGTATTAAATACAATCATAGGAGGTCATTGAAGTGCATTCATCATGTGTATGCAACATAGAAAAAATATAGGACATTATAGAATTTCGATGAAAATGCAGTCAAAACGACACATTAAATTTTCTCAAAAAAACGAATCTGGCGACCCCATTCAAATCTGATATCATTAAAACGGAATTTTAGTGACAAAAACTTATCAGTATTAAAAAAATATCATAGAATATGGAGCAAGAATAGTTTTTAGTACAAATTGCTATACTTATTTGCGATATTGACATGTATTCTAAAAAAATGTACTGTATTTTCTGGATATTGAGTTTCATGTTGGAATTTCGAAATAATGATAGGTTTCATAACGATTGAGAATTGGATGGCGCTTGATATCAACTCGAGTTATTAAATTTAAATCTAGTTATAAAAAACTCATCATAGATACCAGGATTAAAATTGTGTACACCAAAAGACTCATCGGTGACGCTCGAATAAAAAAAGTAAAAAAAAGGGGGGAAAATAAAGTACGAAGTTAAAGACCTTGTCTTCGGCGAGTTTATTATTACTATTTAAATCAAATAAAGAGAGCTGATATCAAGCGGTATCCAATTCTCACGAGTTGTTAAACCTATTTCCCTTAGGATAAACAGTCTTTTTGTGTTAAATAAAAAAAAGTCCGCGTCTCGTTGAACTAGTCGCTTGCACATACCAGTATGACGTCATATGTCCTGTTCAGGCGTCAAATTTTATCATCAGACATTTTAAAACTTTGTGTACGCTTCAGAATATGAATAATTTGACAAAAATAAGATTTTCAGGTGAAAAGTATGATTGTTTTGTATATAATAACCGTTGCCTTGAATGAAATGTACATCGTTTTGACCTTTGAGATTCATCAATGACCTAACGAATAGCCAATGGTAATATCACAATATCGCTTCATGATGCTGGATAGGCCAATCAAATATACGCATTTTTCGTATCATACTCTGTGCAGTGCGATACAAGAAATATCTCTTCGTGCGAGAAATAGATAACAAGCCAAAACCATAGAATAAAATTTACATGCTGCTTTTTAATATGTGTATGTTCCATGCTCTAACTGCATTGAAAGGTCATTAAAATCCGTGAGTACCTGTTACTTAAAAAAAAAATACATGTAAATTAAGTCTTAAGAAGGCATGATGATTTTATAGTTGTTCTTGCATTAAGACTGCTCTTTACTTGACAGAGTTAAAAGAAGATTTTAAAGCTATATTATAGTGGTTGAGTAAAGATCGCATTTTGAGTATCACTTTAAGTCTCGCTTAAGACGAATGTTGTGGCGGGCGACACTTAAGTATTTGCACAGTTAAAATTTTCTCAAAAACGCCCTGCATAAATTGTATAATTGTGTAAACCAATCTCTTGTATCATAAAATATGTGGAATATTCCGAAGTTTTTTAATATGTACCTCAATCCCTCTCCTGTCATAGGCGGGACACAAAAATATAAAAATGAAATCCTGCATAACAAAACTACAGCGAAACATTTCATACATGTCCGATTTTTTCAGATGTATATGTATAGTAAGTCAAACGTCAACATTTTATAGAAACAAGTTGTGATCAATTTCGTTAATGTTCATAAGAAAACCATTTCTATAACATATGCATCATTGTAATTAAAGAAGTAAAATAACAACCTATTTAGTAAAGTGTCATTCTTTTTTATCTTGAAGATGCATCTTCATAATTTTATTTTAAAAAAGATGAAAAAGTCTTATAAAGCATGAATAATCTGAATTTCTGCCCTCGACAAAAGCCTTGTGTAAACCTGTTACATTCGGAAATTTTCCTGTTAACTTTGAGACTCAATTTTGCCATGAAATCTTCCCTGACAGCTGGAAATGTTTGCATGTTTTCGAACTCTTACCATTTAGTGCCTTTTTTTTGTGCAAAATATTTCCAAATCTCCTACAGTAATGAAAACATAAGATACATTTCAACCCGAGATGACAATGATCTACTTCTTTTTTCAAACTTTAACCCAGATTTTCCAAAAACCTTTACTTTCGGAGTGTATAAAATAAATCTACAAACTAAACTCCGTAAAATTTGATGGACCTTAATTTCTGAATGGTATAATTCTATCGTTTCGGGAATTTGGGTCTGTGAAATTTTACAGATATCGTTTGTAGATTTATTTTCTACTGGGTATCCAAGTTTAGAGTAAAATTTCCTCTCAAGGTCCAGCAGAAAAAAATAGCTTTGGCGTTATGACATCGTAAAAGGCGTCACACCATAACATTAAAATAGCCTTTCAAAACGTCATAATAATTTCAACTTCTATTAAATGTGTATTCAACGAACAAAAAATCTCATGCAGTTTATGCCCCCCTCCCCCTCCGTCATGCATCAATGTAATGAGGCCGACATACGTTCAGATGGTATGGTTATGACAAGTAATGTTATATTATTGGAATTCTCTATTAGGTCATTTTAATTACATACAAATAGAATATTGCACTATTTACATGAGAGAAGATATTATTAATTAAAACGATATAAATTTAGATAAATATGTATTTAACAAGAAATGATTGTAACAGGATGATGTTACGAAGTCTCCCAAACGAAGCTCCCATAATTCGTAATTCCCAGGGTCGCCTGACATTGGGCGAAGTCCAGTGAAAATTGGTTTGGTCCAGTAAAGTTATATGCATTAGTGATGCATGGGGACTAACCCTGTATATCATTCAAATCATCTTGGCATGACAAACCAGAATATATATGGTTTAGGGGTGGGGATCTCGACCATTTACAAGATATTAGAACTTTCTCAAATTGCAGGGGGTCGGGATGACCCCTGGGGACTAACCCTGTATATCATTCAAACCATCTTAGCATGACAAACCAGAATATATATGGTTTAGGGGTGGGGATCTTGACCACTTACAAGATATAAGAACTTTTTTAAATGGCATGGGGTGGGGGTGACCCCTGGGGACTAACCCTGTATTTCATTTGATGTGCTTTATCATGACAAACCAGAATATATATGGTTTAGGGGTGGGGATCTCGACCATTTACAAGATATTAGAACTTTTTCAAATAGCAGGGGGTCGGTATGACCCCTGGGGACTAACCCTGTATATCATTCAAACCATCTTAGCATGACAAACCAAAATATATATGGTTTAGGGGTGGGGATCTCGACCATTTACAAGATATTAGAACTTTCTCAAATGGCAGGGGGTCGGGATGACCCCTGGGGACTAACCCTGTATATCATTCAAACCATCTTAGCATGACAAACCAGAATATATATGGTTTAGGGGTGGGGATCTCGACCATTTACAAGATATTAGAACTTTCTCAAATGGCAGGGGGTCGGAATGACCCCTTGGGACTAACCCTGTATATCATTCAAACCATCTTAGCATGACAAACCAGAGTATATATGGTTTAGGGGTGGGGATCTTGACCTCTTTCAAGATATTAGAACTTTTTTAAATGGCATGGGGTGGGGGTGACCCCTGGGGACTAACCCTGTATTTCATTTGATGTGCTTTATCATGACTAACCAGAATATATATGATTTAGGGATGGGGATATCGACCATTTACAAGATATTAGAACTTTCTCAAATGGCAGGGGGTCGGGATGACCCCTGGGGACTAACCCTGTATATCATTCAAACCATCTTAGCATGACAAACCAGAATATATATGGTTTATGGGTGGGGATCTTGACCACTTACAAGATATAAGATATTTTTTAAATGGCATGGGGTGGGGTGACCCCTGGGGACTAACCCTGTATTTCATTTGATGTGCTTTATCATGACAAACCAGAATATATATGGTTTAGGGGTGGGGATCTCGATCATTTACAAGATATTAGAACTTTCTCAAATGGCAGGGGGTCGGGATTACCCCTGGGGACTATCCCTGTATATCATTCAAACCATCTTAGCATGACAAACCAAAATATATATGGTTTAGGGGTGGGGATCTTGACCATTTTCAAGGTATTAGAACTTTCTTAAATGGCAGGGGGTGGGGGTGACCCCTGGGGACTAACCCTGTATTTCATTTAATGGGCTTTATCATTTAGAACATTTTCAATTAAAAAGATTGTGTCTATCACAAACAGTTTTCAATTTATAATCATTTGAAAATTTTTAAAAATAAAATCCCATAGGGTTCTATAGTAAAACCCTCTTTTCTTTTTGCCCCTCAAAGTACCCCTTTATAAACCCCATTGCACAAACAAAACCCTGATTGCACCACTAGACATGTTAGTCTAACATATTGTGAAACCCTAAGTTAATCTGACAAGCGGTTTTGGAGAACGGGTGCGGACAAGTTCAAATTTAAAAGCGGCGGAAGAAGAAGAAGAAGAAGAACTGAGAAAAAACATTAAGTCTTTCCAAACTTCGTTTGGGAGACTTAATTAAAGCAGTCTAAATCATACAATTGTGATGAAGAATTTGTCCTCTGAGCTTACAAAACAATAACTATATTTATATTGTGTCATTACGATATCAAACGGAGTTATATTTCAGCATGAAATACAAATGATTCTCCTACTTTATTGTTAGCATGTAATATATCTATAATGATCTTGAAATAATAGTTGCGAAAATAGGTATATATGTGAATCAATATCTTTAATGACAACGTATTTTCTATTATCGTTTGTTTTCATTAAAAGTAAAGCGTTAAGATTAGCTGAAAGACCTTTACATTTATGTACCCGTTACACAATTATTAATGATTAAATATATCGTCTGGACGTTCACTGTATCCAAACATTAAACAGTCTGGTTTCACAAATGATCTCACTCTATCAAGTAATGGTTTTCCAAGAGATTTGTAGTGAGCTACTAATTGTTGTCGCTTCTCTTCTTTTATTATTTTACTAGATAATATTTTTCTATAATACTTGACACTTGAAGCTGTTAATGACGAAATATTGCAGGTGACTATTTTGTCTTTACTTATAAATCCACGAAGATATAAGGTCTTTAAGACCCTTTCAGACACATTAACTTCTCTCAGACAAGTTTTGTTGAGATTCTTATAATAACGCAGATCGTTCGCAATTTGAAGCAATTCTTCACTGAAGTTGTGTCTTACACTAAACTGTCGGAAACTTTTGTCCCTGAGTTCACCAAATACATAATTCACATCATCACCAAAAGTTTCCATTTTACCTATTATTTTATAATCGATTTCACATGGTCTACAATGTTGATGTATAGGACTAAAATGATCCTCAAGAAGGCGTGGTTTGTAATCATAAGTATCTACAACATATTCTACAAACTCGGCAAATGTGACGTCATATCCACATTGCATACTTTCTAATGAAGCATTCTTCCTGTATTTTCTTATAATTTTTGCTCCATATACACTCCAGTAATGTGGATTTGGATATAAGAATTTGTCAATATATCCAGAAAAGAGTCTAGAATAAGGGTCTCTAACAAACAAAACTGAAAACGCTGATTTAGAGAAATTTTTCACATCTACATCCCTGTACTCCCGGGAGATTATTGGCAAGTCCATCTTATGTACTAGAGACAAGTCTGTCAGATTCGTATCCATCTTGTTTTCTAGAGACAGAAAAATTCTTTTCCAGAATGTACATCCAACTTTCTGCACAAAACAAAATAGAAAGTTGTTTTGTTTGTTGTACAAAAGATATTTCTTTTTTGTCTGTTTCAACTTCGCTTTTTGGTGATATAGTCTTGACTTGCAAGCTTGTTTCAAAACATGTATTCGTTGGCTATAAGGTTTTGAATCCAATCTTTTTGCTTTTCTAGTGTCTATGAAATAAAAACCAAGAAGTTAGTTAAATCAACATGGCAACAAATCATTTGCATAAGTGATGCACACATCATGTTTTATTTTAGATGTTGTAGTTTTATGTAATATCAAACAGCAGAAATTCTATTGATTTATATGTTGTCTACGGTAATTATTAATGCTTTATAATTCAAAATAGATCTGAACCAAATATTTAAATACACTTTTTTTTTATTTCGCAGGAAAATAAGAAGATTTTACAATAATATTGATACTTTTGTTAACTTTATTTTACTTAGAAACTTCAGCCAGTTTTTATTACACAATATCTCTGTCAAATGTCAAGAATGATCCACTCTCTATCCAAGACGATTAAACCGTAGTTCTGGAGCAATAAGGCATTAAAAAGTTTGAAATAAAACAATTTCGACTGGAAAGATAATGACGATATGATTTCGATGCTCACACACTTTAGGTACAATCCGCTCGGCAGACAACCCTTTCGGGGTTGGTAGGATTTAAATATTACACTTTCCCCAGATAATAAAATATACAAATGTATTAAAACTAAATGTGTTAACATCTAAAGCATGCATGTAAATGTCAATTCAATTTGAACTTAGACGCTTTTCTCTGAATTTGTGATGCTGCTTCGGATTAGAGTTTATAAACGTTTATGTAATTGTTATTCAAAATTTTGAGTCTCTACCTTACGTTTGATGTGTTTGAGCTTTTGAGTTTGCCATTTGCTTAGAGACTTTCCGTTTAGAATTTTCCTCTGAGTTCGGTATGTTTGTTATTTTACTTTTTACCTATTTTAATAGCAGTCTTTCTTAATTTTTACTTTTAGTAACCTGGAAAGTTAGATAAAGTTCATTGGTCAAGAGATTATTACTCTTTATCTGATGTGCACGAAATTGAAAATAAAACTATACAATTTTGTGCATCCGAGACGCTTTTCTGGATTTACCTTCATCAGGAACGCTCAAACCAAAACACAAAAGACAGAGATGTATAATGTGTAGAAACTTTTAAAAGACAGGGATGTATAATGTGTAGAAACTTTAAGAGCTATATGACCAAAAGTTATCTAAAATGAATAGCCTAATACATCTCAGGTCAATTTTGGCTGATAGGGTTTAAATCTTAGATTTTTAGTTATTTCTTAATCTCATAACGGGGAATTTTAGAAAAAAAACTGTTATAAATCATGTCAGTACCCTCTAAGACTAACAATCCACAGCAGTGTTATCGACCCAGTGCATGCAAGTAAATGAAAATAACACTTTTAAAATGAGTAATTTTTCGTAACGAAATTAATTCAACAGAGTATATTCAGTTGGGCTAAATTAATGTTAATGTGAATAAATGAAGACCTATGTGGCATCGCTGCCTTTACGTATGCTACACATCCAGTCATCACTTACTGAAGAATAATTATTGCGGGCCTCCAAATAATAATTCTTATTTTTTGAATGAGATTTGATTTGGCATTTTCAGAAGGAAAGAATTTTGAAAATTGAATAATAATTCGTTGTATTGGTTATAGTTTCGTTTGATTAAAACCCAATAAACAGAATTTTTCGTATGAATGTGTATACATGATTGCATCTGTGTAACAATATTCTCTACAATCATAGACAAGGTTTGATCATATAGATGTAGATAAAGAAATTTAAATGTTGACCTATAAGAAATTGACAATACATTAGACGATGATATACTTTTGCTCAAACAGAACGGAATGAAAATATAAAACAGAAGAGGGGCGAAAGATATCCTAGGAATATTCAAACTCACAAATCAATAACAAACTGACAACACCATCGCAAAAAAAATGAAAAACGACAAAAAGACAAACTACTGTATGCAAAACACAACATAGACATAAAACCTTCTATAATTGTTTTGCATAGGCTGATGTAAAATTTCACCAAAAGAAATTTCATACGATATGATGTGAACAGATGGAAAACAGACACTTACATGTATAAGTGATGAAAATAATCCTTCCCAAGAACTTCTTATTAACAACTAATTTTAAACAGATTTTGTTAATTTTCAAAGGAAAACTGTCTTGACAAAAATAAATCATGTATTTTTATCACACGTCTTATGTTATGTGTTCATTTTTCATTTCGATCTATCTTTTTTTCCAAAACTTCTCTTTCTTTTTCTCACGAATATTTGTATCTCCATATATTCTCTCAGTTATTAATTCACCAATGCATATTTAATTCACACAAGAAGTAATAACTACAGATTAAGAGATTTAAAACAATCCCCCTTAGACAGGTGGTTTTAAATTCGGTTGTCTTTATCAGAAAGACTTATCTGATAATAACAACAGTTGCATGTTTGTAATATACAATTTTTGGTTATTTAGAAAGAGCCATTACAATGTTAAGTTATTTAGAAAGTGGTAAGTTTGAAAGTGTGGCAGATATCCTATGAAGTTCATATTTGCAAATTGTCAAAAGGATACATCATCATTGGACTTATTTCAGTTGTGTTTCTAAATTCGAATTAGTGCTAAAAATAGAATGCTTGCCAATTTTACACTTTTAAAACAGGTTGTTTCCCTTTGTTAATTCCAACGTTAGACTTTTTAAAAGAAAAATAACTATTGATTTTAAAAAAGATTTGAAAAACTTAAAAAATTACACACATTACGCACAGAAAAATTTGCTCTTTTGCTAGCTCTTCATTGTTAATGAAATGGTAAGTACTTTCTACGGGCAACAACTAAAAAATTGGTTCTCTAATTACAGGATCAATTTGGGTATTGGCAAATAGACTAATCATTTGATATTCTCCGAACAGGCATTTTAATTCAAATAAATTGAGTGTTTCAACATTAGAAAAAACTGAGTCCTTGTCAGTGATATCAAGTATTCTGTTGCGTTTTAATTTACACATTACATGAAATTGCGTGAAGTTTTCTTTAATTGAAACTTACCTGTCGTATTTTTATAAGAATAAGATAACTCTCCTCTTTTGTGTGTTGATTTTGGTTGATGATGATCACCAATGAAAAATATTTGAATAATAATCATCATAGAAGCGATAGTGGTAATGAACACACTTGCCTTCTTACAATACATTATTAAATTTCTTATCAACAAATATGACTTCAATAGTAATGACCTGTCATATATAACAAAGTGAGATAATGTACGTTTATTAACATTAAATTATCTAAAGTGGTGTAGAGCTGAAGACTTACGACGCATTTTAAGATAAATAACTGGCAAACAATAGTTCTAAATCGAAGTTTTGGCGTTACACATATGTTCCTGATGGTTTGTATTTTAAAATGGTGCTATGTTATATTTGTCTGATACTGGAACAGACGAATTTTTAAAAATTAAACGAGTTGTTGCTGCAAGCTCTTAAAGTCAAAATGCATTTAGGGGATTTCAACATCGGTAAACTACAGTTGCCTCTCATTTATTTGTAAGTTTCCAGTGCATTAATTTAGGTATAATGTTAACTAAGGTTGATTCTTCCTTGGGCAAAATTGAACTTCTAAGGTTTTGAGTTTTTAGTTTTATGCTCGCAATCATATTCATATAATATTTTTGCCTCTCAGAACTTTGGGTCTCGAGCGTATATGATGAAGATTATTCAAGAAACCTGTGTAGTGCCCACGAAAATTATAGCATACGGTTGTTCCTGTTATATTGAAAAACTTCGTAAGAAGTTATTTTCTGTTGGCTTTTGATTATGTTACCTAAGTATAATCATGCATTTTTCAAAGTTAAATGAAGACTGAATCTAAACTACCATACTACAATAACATCAGAGACATATAATACAATTATATGTCTCTGATAATATTTACACAAAAAAGTAACTACTTAGTATAATTGAATCTTTATAAGTTTGGTGCTTCCGTCTTGAAGCTAGTCTTTGCATTTACCTCAGCCAGTAAAGCTCGAAATCTAACATATGAAAGACAAACACATAGATAAATACTTTTTATATGACCAAAAGCAGACTTTAAAAGAGTAGATAAAACCATCTAAGGTCAGTTATATCTGTCGTAGTTGCAACATTAGTTAATATAAACACAACTTGCAATGCTCTGATTCCTTGCCCGGTTTTTTGGGTTAATAAGCTCTTCATTTTTTTAAAAGTTTTTGATTTTCAAATATTTTTGGCCTCGGGTATCACTGAAGAGGCATTTATTGTCTAAATCCGCATCTGATGCAGTAAAAAAGTATAACGAAAATACCGAACTCCAAGGCAAATTCTAAAAAGGGAAGTCCATAAAAATTTGTACCGTTAATGTTATTACTACCACTGGGTCGATACCTCTGATGGTGGGCTGTAAGTCCCCGAAAGTATCACCACCCCAGTAGCCAGTAATTCGGTACTGGCATTAAAATACAGATATATTGTTATCGAAATTTGCTGTTACACAAATTTTTTAAACTATTTTAGATTAAGTAATATACCTCCTTCGTGGAAAGATCTGATTCCTTGCCCGGTTTTGACTATACTTTCTGTCCTTTTGGGGTTTATAAGCTCTTCATTGTTTGAATAAGTTTTAGATTTTCGAACATGTTGGTCTCGAGCATCACTGTTATTGTTATCTTATTTATGAACTCGAAATTTAGACAAAAAAGATGTAAGAGCATTACAAAAATTCGCACTAGATTAAAACAGAGATTAGATGACAGAAAAATTAATTTCATATAGCGATCCACCTAATTTGAATTTCATGTTAACTCAAATCTAATTCATCCGATGAAAGCTATAATCTTAAAAAGAACAGCTTAAGTCAATCACATCGTTATAGCTCAAGAAATAATTCTTGTCATCGATGTGGTGTATACATCTTTCCATAGAAAGAGAATGCTATACTGGTATACCCCTGTATGTCAGACTGTCTATTTTCCCTGATATGTCGCTCAACATGAATGCACAACAATCATTTGATATTTGGTATTTAGCATAGTAACAGTACTTTCACTCTTGTGTCCATATATTTCTTGGCTCAAGTTTATGCTGGGTTTTAAAGTTTTTTTGGTCGATGCTTCCAAGTTAAATATTTATGCATTCTGCACTTCTAATTTTTAGCATATGCGATGAAAGATTTTCCAGAATACATATTGTTTGCAATGACACTTTTTTCAAAGCTATACTGAAAACAGCAGATAGAAAACTGATACTGTGGATTCATTTTTATTCCTGGTATACCAATTTTCGTGGGTTTCGTGGGTCACAGCGAACCACGAATTTAAGAATTCAACGAAGAATAATCCCGAGAAATGTGTATGGAGTCGGATGTTTATTTCCGGTTATGTTATGCAGTTCTAGTATAGTGTTGCCTAGCGATAAACATTGTAACATAACACGTGTTTTTAATGAAAGAAGATACAAGTATTTTGATTAAATCAATAATAAATATATCGAATATCACTGATAATTTACTTTTTAAAATTGATTAAAACTGTTCATGGAAAATAACTGCAAGTTGTTAATTACCGTGTCATAGTTTGGTTTACTGGTGATTAAAACTCAATAGGATTAAATATGGGGATATTGCCCGTAGGTAATATTGTTTATGACAGGAACATTTATTTTCACACCTTTCACTAATTATATGACTGTTTATTATATAGTGATTAGGGAAATGAGCTTTCAATCATAGAGTTTTGAATGCCTTATAAAATTCCGACAATAATTTATAAATTGTAAAACAAACAAATAATTAGTTGTCTCCGTCCATTATTGTAATAGAAGTTTTCAATGAACACTTTAACCTAGAATGATCAAGCGAGGATTTTGACAATTCAAAACTTTTTCAATGAATTCCTTCTTTTTTGTTTGTTTTATTATTGATCAAACCAAGGAGGTTGGTTATATGATCTCCTAAATCAAAAAGAAATCAACGAATTACGTATCTGATTTTTTTTTTTTGTAATCAGCGATCCACGAATTTACGTATCCCACGAAACGTCTTTTTTTCTCTATCCAGGAAAATTGATACCCACGAAAATAAATGAATCCACAGTATTGCATGGTTATTTTTAGAATTTCTGACATCTTTGTAAGAACCAACCAAATGAATTGCTGCTCTACTTCAGGCTTATTGACAATAATAATACTACAACTGTAGCCTTTGTATGAGATCGATACAAGGATATATCTACCGAAATACTTCGTCCTCGGTCAGTATATTTCTTTCAGGTCGATATATCCTCATAAAAAGTCTATAAGTGTATAAAGTCATTCAAAGGTTTTCAGTCACCTTGTTATTCATCCGACAACACAAATATGAATGGTAACTGAACTCTAGGTGTTGGGTAGCTCACAACTATTTTTTTAATATGTTTTCCATTAGTTTGATGTGTTTGAGCTTTTGATTTTGCCATTTGATTTTTCCATGGAGTTCAGTATTTTTGTTATTTTACTTTTTTTGCATAATTTTCTATCTGTTTTTGCTTGAATTTATGTAATTTTGTGTTGGTGTCAAACCTTCAGCCATATAATTCATACATAACTCATCTTAAACATCTTGACTTGATTTATAGTTTTACATTTGCTTGCTAGCCAAACATCTTAGGCAAGATTGTTGATAGGTTATCAACAAAGCAAAAAGAACAACTCTAGAGATAACTACCGTATAGCGGGTAATTTTCGCGGGGGGTTTATTTTCGCTTATTTTGGCGGATGAAAGAAAATCGCGAAAATAAATTCCGCGAAAAAATTAATGCATACTTTTGTTACTTTCTAATAGCTAAAGCGTCGGTCGGTAGGTCAATAACAGTATTGGTTATTTTTAAAAACATAAACAAAAAGGGCATTGAACATACATGTATTTTATAAAATGACTGTCACGTGTGTATATCCTTATCAATTAGTGTCAAATAGATTATGAGTAGGGTACTCTATCAGGTAATTACCCTTACTAATTAGTGTCAAATAACATAAGAGTTGTAAATCAGTCTTGATAATTTTATAACCTAATTAGTGAGTACATCAAAGTTCCGGTCAAGATCAATGAATAAGACGTCATTTAGGTAAACAAATCAATTAACTTGCTTCTCAATTTTTCAATACTTTATATGCAACAATTTCAGTATCCCCCAAAATATTTAATTGGGATTTAAGAATCCACCAAAATAAAAACCGCCAAAATTTTTCTTATACTTTGTTGCCCCTAAATCATGAAATTTTACACCCGCGAAAATAACCCGCTATACGGTATATCAAAGTAACAAAATAGGAATTTACAATACTTTAAATCTAGATTCAGTTAATTAATTTTTAACAAAGAATTTTTCATGACCAACAAGCATGCAAAATCAATTAATGCAATGTTGGATTACACTTTATTAGTAAATAATGAATGCACTTTTTAATTATTGCGATTTCAATCATTCATGTTTGAAAACACTAATATTGCTTTGTAAAATTTCCTTGCTTTTGGTCAAATACATTGACCAAATTGAGACTTTTCAATTTAATAAAGCATTCCAATATAATGTGTAAAAATGACACTTTAAACACAGAAATAAAATATTCTAATTTTTATTAAAACATTATCACATTTTTTCTAAAGGCGTAATTCCTAGTAGTTTCATACCATTGGCAAGAGTTGTTTGAGCACACTTGAAAACTTGTAGACGTGCCTGCAACATACACAAAAAACAAATAAATGTTGATGGGTAAGATTTAATTGGACAAACAAGTTGACATATATTCTATGAAAAAAAAATACCAGCTTGCAATTTTATACAAAAATATCTGAATTTAAAGAATAGTTTTCTTCGTGTAACATAAAAATTTCTATCAATCACAGTTAAAGCAAGATTCATTTGACTTTACATTGCATCTCAATTTTTAATTCATTTGAAAGGCCAATAAGATCATTAACACACCTTTCCCTTTGTTTCATGATGTGCTCTAAACCGATTAGACTATGACAAGATACCATGAAATAGTGGCAATGATTTGGAAATAACTTTATGACAAGAATGGCACTTTTTGTCCTGTTCTTTATCCTAATGGTTGCTGTAAGGTATTTAAGAATGAGCTAAAATAGTAATACATTAAATAAAAATTTAAAGGTGTATCCCAACTATAACATAAGGAAACTTGGTTTCTGACTTATCCTACTTATTTTTAATGTAAAAGGCATTTCCATATATCTTAATTCTATGTGCAGGTGGAAAATGTTTTATGCAATTTATTAATTTCTTTTATGTGTTGTTTTGATTTTGCCTTTGAGGTATCCAGGTACTTTGGAGAATTAATGCATAGTTTGATAAACAAATATATGACAATTATCTATGTTAAGTACCTATGTCTTTGACAACAACAAAACAAATACAGTCAAATGTAAAGGAAAATCATTAAAAGGATTTGAATATATTTAATTTTGATTCTGTTATTAAACATTCCAAGATTTAACTGTGTAATATAGTTACTAGTTAGAACTAGATTCAGCCTTATGTGAAACCATAAAAAGATAGTGGATAGTATGTTTGAATATTTGACAGTGTTTTCTGACAAAAAGAGTGCTCTGTTTTTCCCATAGGGTTCTCTGTTTATAACCTTAAATATATAATTTATGACTTTCTTTTGATTACTGAAACAGCATTATAATGGTATAAACCAGGGCTTTCAAAAAATATTTCAGCCAGCCGGACATTTTAGGTCATATCCCGATTTTAATCCCTTAAGACTTAGTATCAAAAGGCAACTATGGTAATCAGTTGGCCATCATATAACCAATGATTGACATTAAAACGATATTAAACTTTACTTTGATATAAATTCGATGTTCTGACGTAAACTGTTAAATTGACAGTGCATCATTCGAAGTGTGCAACATCAGTGTACTAAAATCTGCCTTACTCTTTATTTGTGCAAAATAACTTTGTCAAAAACTTTACTTTCGTTTTTAAAAAGCACATTTTCCTAATACCGGATGTTGATTTGACAATGGTAAAACACGGACCAGAGACGGATACGTAAAATCTGTGTACGTTTACAAAGCACGACTGAGTTCAAGTAGCTCTTTCCACGTTATTTCTTCAAGAAAATACTCGAAATGAATGTTAGATAAAGGTATCAATGATAATTTTAGCATTTTTGAAGAATTAGGATGCATAATTAAATTTCCCACATGCGCACACGTGTACTAGTTCAAACAACGTGGTTCTGACGATTTTCGTTTACAACCTTTTTAAATTTTTCATCAAATAATATTTATAAACATATTTCTGATAATTTCAATCTTTTTGACTAAATTAATTAGAAGGAAACCGCTGAAATGTAAGAAAATAACTTTGAATAGACCGATCAATGTCCGGTACAAAATAGTTTACCTGTCGCCTGAACAGGTACATTTCAGCTGTCTGACAACTGATTAACCTTGATTAAAATGAGAAGGTATTAAAGTAGGGTTTGTTTTGATAGTACTTATTCATCATGTCACTTTTATGACCGGAAATGTGAGGCTGTTTAAGGCAAAAGGTCGGGTCAAAAAGATAGCATAAACTTCCATTTTTTTTCGAATTATGTTAAAATGACCCTCTCTTAAGAAAGCCTTGAAAACTAAAAGTAGATGTCCATTTCATGCTTTTCCCAGTTGGACAAAGTCCGGTAAATTTATAAATGTCCGGAATATATGACCGTTTTGGAAGCCATGGTATAAACCTTAAATGGTATCCTACAGTGTGACCTCAAAAACAGTATTGGATGTTATTATTGATGTTGTGACAACATCTATTTATTGAAAGTTTGATTTGTATCATCTAGTTAATGATCATTGTCAACTTGTGTTATATCTTCATCTATTTAAAAACAAACAAACCTGGGCTAATTCTTGAGGCTGGTCTTTTACTTTTAGATTACGATGAGCAGCACTTATAAATTTGCTGAAAAGGAAGAAAATGCTGGTTATACATTTAAATGAAGAAATGTGTTTTCAGAATGTGTAATTGGCAAAGAGATAGCTATAGTACTCTAGAAAGTCATGATCTTTTATCTAAATATTCAAATATGCAAGTATTAGTTTTGATTAAAAATTACAGATTATTTTCAATATGATTTCAGACAAGAATGTGTCAAATATCTTTTTCTAATTTTCTTAAAGATGACAAGTAAAAGAATTTGTATTTCAGCTTAAATAAAGCAAGTTTAGTTCATACACTGAAAGCCCTGATGAGAATTTTGAATGTTTGGTAAAACTAGTGGGTAATCCTCACTGGTATATTGTTAGGCTTTTCGGCAGGACTTATTTTTCTAAACAGCAACTTGAAAGTCAAGCCAGTATACTTGCTATCTATGGGCCCAAATCAAGGCAGTTATAATATGATATATAAACTTTGGCTGAAAAATTCTACAGTTAAGCTTTAAATACTACTGTAAATTCAGAAATTATTGCGAGGTTTTTATTAATGCAAATAATGTGAGTGGATGAAGTTGACAATAATAAGAACTCGCATTCTGAAATCTGATACTTATATCTGTATGCAGATTTTCCTGAAATCGCAATAATTAATCTCGCATTTTAGTCCATTCTTCAAAATTCGCAATAATAAACGCACGCAATAATTTCTGAATTTACAGTATGTGGAAGAATATTAATGTGTATTCATGTTCTTTTGAATTGGTTAAAAAGATTTCCTCTATTCATCTTGTTTCTACATATGAAGTCAGTTTCATGTCAATAATGAATTAAATACACTGAAAGCTGGGATGAGCATTTCTGTAAAATAATATTGTTGAATGAAAGTGGAATGATAGGTAACCAACATATCCTCTAAGCCTTTTCAAAAAAAAAATAAGGAGATGTTGTATGATTGCAACTATCCACCCAAGCAGTGCACCCAAGTTCAATGAATTGGATGTAAGCAATTATAGGCAACCATACGGTCTTCAACAATGAGAAAACCCATACTGTATAGTCGGCTATAAAAGGCACCGACATGAAAAATATGCAACAATTCAATTGAGAAAACTAACGGCCTTATTCATAACAAAACAATTTACGAAAAACAAATATGACAGACATGAACCAACGACAACCTCTGAAGTACAAGCTCCTGACTTAGGACAGGCACATAAAGATTGTGGGGGGTTTAAACATATGCATGTTTGTGAGCGTTCAACCCTCTCCTAACCTGGGACAGTGGTGTTACAGCACAACATAAGAACAAACTATAACAAGAGTGCACACGCTGAAATGTCTCACCTTCTTTACTAATCATTGCTATTATGTTGATAGTCCTAATAATAAAGCTTTACTACAACTATCACATACACTTAACATGATCCAAGAAAATGAGGTCAAGGTCATATAAACCAAACAAGAAATACATGTACACCTTACAATCATTCAATACACTAAATATAGTTGACCTATTGTTTATAGTTTCTAAGATACAGACTTAACCAAGAAAACTTAACATTGACCTATGAACCATGAAAATGAGGTCAAGGTCAGATGAACCATGCCAGGCAGACATGTACAGC